TTTATTTCACTTCTACAAAAATCTGCCAAATGTCTTCTTTAAAACAAGACCAATCATATGTCTATATTCCAAAGCATTCTTGAATTACAACCATTTAAGTTCGAAATGTGCATTTTCATGTCTATTCAAAAAAGGGGGGGTGACAGTTAACAGGTTAATAATAATAAGCTGTTTCTCGACATAAAATCTACTATCACCGTACACCAAACAGATTCCCCCGTATTCAACAGTAGCTTCTGCACTCGGATGTCAGGACTTGAGCGATACATGTCCGCCTGACTCAGGGATTGTTTTAAACCCTACAGCCTCATTGATCCAGCGAGCATGAGGTGATGAGAAGGTGGCTGGGATTAATGCCTCACCTCCCTACAATTTCATTAGAGATACGTTACGAATACGCCTGCGTCTTCAGAGCGTTTGCAGCCAAAGGAAATTAATGGCCGCATAACATCATACTATGCAAAGGCTGAGTCTCGCTTCTATAACACAGCTAGTGCTTTTCACATATTTCACTGACAAAAACCATTTGAAAGCGGAGTAGTGCTCCAATAAACATCCTTTTGGTGAAACCAGTGCACAACCACCACTCCACTGTGACAAGCTGTCATACAAAGGTGCTCTTCGAGTCTCTGGATAAGCAGAAAACGGCAAGACAAGGACAAAGACCATTCTCTTTAAAATGTTAATATAATCATAACACTCACTGAAGTAAGCGAAGCAATTGTTTGCACAGAGGTTGTAATAATGTAATTGGGATCCCTTTGTTCGCATGGTACATGACTCGTTTTGTATAAACAACGTACCTCCATAACCCCAACAGTACAGCGTCAAGGACGATTTCATCTACTCAAAACTAAAAAAAAAAAAACTGTTCCTTTAACTCGCGAGTCGCATCGATATAATTTAGCATTACCTTTACTATAATCAATAAAAAAATCATTAGTTGGTTGAAAAATTAAAAGAAAAATAAAAGTAGCACACCCAGGACTGTACATTCTCATCCAAACAAATGGCTTTAAAAGCAGCTAGAAAATCCTGAGGATAATCACACTTAATTATTCATTTTCCTGCAGGTTTATTAAAGCAAAAACCTGCTAATCAATGGTATTTGTTTTTGTTGATGGTACCAGTCACAATTATATCTTTTTTTTTTAATAATCATGTTCAACAGCAGAATTCCAGGAGAAAAACAACACGCGTCTACAAAGAAATCTCCACAAATCAGATAATCGAAACAAACAAATTGCTCCGAAAGAACTCTTTAGCGCCGCCCACTCCCATGAAGCACTGCGAATGACATAATCAAGTCAGTCTTCCTGCACTATCAAACTACTTGAATAATTGTATGTATTTTTTAATGAACCTAAAATGCATTGTTTCTTTACATAATCAAAATAAAAACAATTGATTCAAAGATGTTTTTCAATCGCAAAGCTTCATGGGATTGTAGTTCTTTCCCTCATTAAAGCCGATAAGTAAGTACACAGTCTTTGTCTTTTTGTCCATTGCGAAAAAATCACTCACTAAGTCACACATATTTTACTGCATTTGTCATCCACAGAAATTCCTTTTAAAGAAAATAGAAAAATTATGAGGTTAATAAAACTTAATTTTAACAATTAAGGTACACTATGTAACTTTTGGCCATCTCACAGTTAAAAACCAACCTTGTTTTGGTTGTGTTTCAGCTTTGCATGACTGTGCTGATAAATATGGTTATCCTACTGATCATAAAACATTCACTACAAGGCTTAAGAGATATATTGTAACCAGTTTAGATGGAAAGGATCTGTAGACAAGTAGCTGAAGACATTACTGTAGTTATACCCATTAATAGACGGTACTTCCTTGAAAAGAAATAAATAAATAAATTACAACCAAAACGAAAGACACAAATCACAATATTTTATAATGAATTCTGTTAGAGAGCTACATATGCCAATTTATCTGTTCAATAAAATAACTTACTCACCTGTTAAGTAATAAAATGCCATCTCCCCCACGCTTTTAACATTTCAAATTCCTCAGTTCTCGCCGTCTCCTAAAAGCCAAGTCAATCTTGATTCCCGTTTTATTACAAGCTTTGTCGCATCATGTTTTTTCCAGCACTCTCCTCTGTTCTGCATCAACCTTTCTCGCTCGTTGTGACAACTAACCTATTCCACTCCAACATGTGTCAAAGTAGACGGAGAAACTTTTCTCTATTTACAGATGTGACCAGAATACTGTATGTAAATGTATTTGTACTATAATAGGTAAAAAGTAAATGTTTTTCAAATACATATATATATATATATATATACACTACCGGTCAAAAAATTTACACTGTTAAAATGAATATGCTTTATCTAATCAATAAAATTGCAGCAACAGATTACAAGCAATATTATTTATTAAATTGAACAAATTAGAATTGAGTAATAGTTAATCAAATTAATATTCTAATTAATTCTAATTTGTACAGTTTAATTAATAATATTTCTTGTAATATGTTGCCACAATTTTATTGATTAGATAAAGCTTTTTTTTTTTCAGTGTAGATCAGTAAGATCTTTTATGTTTTGAAATGAAGGCTCTTCTGCTCACTCATAAAGGCTGCTTTATTTGATGAAAAAAATGACAAACAGTAATATTGTGAAATATTATGACAATTTAAAATGACTGTTTTCTATTTTATTATATTTTAAAATGTAATTTGAAAGCTGAATTTTCAACATCATTACTGTTGCTGATTACACATCAGTTTTCAGTGTCACATGATCCTTCAGAAATCAGTCTAATATGCTGATTTTATGCTCAAAAAAACATAAATTATTATTTTCAATCTTGAAAACAGTCGTGTACCATTTTTTCCCCCCAAAATTCTATGATGAATAGAAAGTTCAAAAGAACAGCATTTATTTAAAATATAATCTTTTCTAACATTATAAATGTCTTTACTGTAACTTTTGATCAATTTAACTTATCCTTGATGAATAAAAGTATTTTCTAATTTCTTTCCCCCAAAAATAAAAAAATAAATTCTTACTGACCTCAAACTTTTGAATGGTAGTGATTAATGTTACAAAATCTTTCCATTTCAGATCAATTCTGTTCTTTTGAACTTTCTATTCATCAACATGGATAATATCATAAATATTTCTTGAGCATCATATTATAATAATTACTGTAGGATCATGTGACACTGAAGACTGGAGTAAAGACTGTTTTAAATTGTAATAATATTTCACAATATTACTGTTTTTTTTTCTTTTTTTTTTTTCTTTTTTTTCAAATAATTGCAGCCTTGGTGAGCAGAAGAGACCTCTTTTAAAAACATAAAAAATCGTACCGATCTAAAAATTTTGACCGGTAGTATATATATATATATATATATATATGTTATGTAATATGTACTTAATATATTTAATATATAAGTAGTTCACACAAAAATTATGTAATTAATTATCAAAATTTTTTACTTACCCTGACTTTATCTTGAATCAGGACAAAGTTATTTTGAATAAATGTTCCAAACTATATAGACAAATGTTGTTTGGTCAATTTGTTAAAATATCTCTGATTTTGACAAGAAGTTTTTATATTTCTTGTTATATATTTATATAATTATAAAAATATAATTATATATTTCAAAATGTTTGTGCACCACAAAAGAAAGAAAGTCACAGAGGTTTAGAACGACACAAGGTTGAGCATGTGATGAAAACGATTACATTTTTTGGGTGAACTGTGTACACATATCGTTGGGTGGATCTCGTTTTTTTTCCCCCTATATCGTGGGAACCAACTAGTGTACCTATAATAAAAATACTTAATAAGATGCTAACTAGCATCTTAATCATAAAAATGTGTATATGAAGCTTATGTTTAAGTGTATGTATAGAAAGAAACCATCATTAGCTCAGTATAAAGGCAACAGGAGTCAATGGAAAGTCCCCAGGATACGCATGTGTGAATGCAGGAGTCCAACGTGTGTCTTCTTTTAAACATCTGTTGTATTTGATGAAGAGGGCAGTCTGCTAACAGATGGTCATAGCTCATGACCCGTGGTGCGGACACAAACACTTGCATGCCAATGGACGTTAAAAGATAAATGTAGGGACATATAGGCTAGGGACTGTGCAGATATATCAGTCATCCAGTGCAGGGCGCTGCATTAAACCTCACAGCTCTCTTTTCATGAATAAGCGTGAGCCGGCAGACTGCCAATGCAGAAATGCACCATGTCTTATCAGAAACAGCATCATCATCATCACTGATGGAGTCTTTTATATAGTCTCAAGGCGATGGTTTACGAGACATGAACTCATTCTGATCTTTTCAGCATGACCTTTCGCATGGTGTTTAAAGATGGGAAAACATACTGATCAAATGTATACCCATCTACCATATATCTACATTTCAGCAGGCCAGGGTCATATAAAAATCAGTACTGATAAAAAAGAAGAGGTGCAGAATAACTCAGAGGTGCTTATGGTTTCAGCACCATCTCTGCTGGACTGCAAAATCCCCTCTGCGACAAAACCAAATCATGTCATGAACCAGGTCTCCTCCTTTTCACATGTAGATAAGATTAGTTGTATAAATAATACGCAACCTTAAAGACAAATCAGATCACTATGACTATAAAATTAAAATAAATAGATTTCAGCACAAAGAAGCGTTTTTAAACAGATACAAATGAAGAATTTAAGCACTCGTTTAAAAATCAAAGCAAAGTTTGCAGACATTCTCAAAAGTTAAGCATTGTATCTAATGGAAATGAAGAGTGTTATTCCATCAACCTGAAGCACAGTATCCGCAACATTGCAGTGAATGGAACAATGCGTCCTTTCTCAAGCAAGAGAGTATCTAACCTCTTCAAAAGCCCGGATTAGAGGAATTTAAATAGCAGCGTGTCAGAGAACTTCAGAGAATATGCAGGTATAGATATGCTAATCATGCTGACCGTTTTAACTCGCTATTATGGCTTTCTTTAAAAATGAAATAAAGTGGTTTACCTGTTCGGCGTGTTGCGTCCGCTGTAGGCTTCCTCTCAGAGCGCTGTGTGAACGCCGGTGCTGATGACGAGCCGCCCACACTTCATCACGCCCACTGCCACTTAACCCCGCCCACTGATGAATAATTACCGTAAACCACAGCGTGAACGCGCCCATTTCAGTGGATTTTTAAAAGGAGTTATTCATTTTATTTAGCAAGGATGGATTAAATGTATCAAAAGTGACTGTAAAAACATTTAAATTATTACAAAAAGTCTATTTCTAGTTTGAAAATATAATTTCAATTCATCCTTTTATTAAGGTTTCCAAAAAAGCTGTTTCAACATTGGTGATAATAAGAAATGTTTCTTGAGCAGAAAATCAGCATTAGAATGATTTCCGAAGGATCATGGTTGGGAGTAATGATGCTGAAAATTCTGAAATAAATTACATTTTACACTAGAATTAAAATTGAAAACAGTTATTTTACATTATAATAATATTTCACAATATCAGAGATTCCACAGAAGAAGAAAAATCGGTAACACTTTGCTTGAAGGGGTGTGCATAAGACTGGCATGACACCTTCATAACCATGACATATGTCTTGTTTATGCATGTTTAAGTGTCTTTCGATCAATAATGACATTTTGAATGCAAATATGACATTGTTTAAGATGTTTTGTTATGACATCTTGACATAAACCATAACACCATAACCTGTCAGTGTCTTTGTTATGACAACTTGACATAAAATTAAGTTAAACTGTCAGGTTGTTGGCTTTGACATTGGCTATCATGAGGCCATTTTTCATGACCTCAACTACAGTGGTACTAATTGAATTTGTCATTAAAAAGTTATAATGGCTTCATAAAAGCCAATGTCAAAACCAACCACCTGATAGTTTAATGTAATGTTAACAAATAGAGCTAGGTGATTATCAAATTAAGTTTGATAATTAATCTGCTATGTCATGTTTATAACATGTAATGTAATGTCAAGTTGTCATGACAAAGACACTTAATGACACTTAATGACAGTTGTCACAAACATGCATAAAACTTCCTTCATATTCATGTCATATCATGATTATGAAGGTGTCATAGTCTTATTCACACCCCTTCAAGTAAAGTGTTACCGAAAAATGCATACAGGTTTGGAAAGACATGAATGGTTTTTTTTTTCAAACCTTTTAAGTAAATGTGTGACCTTAAATTGGACAAAGAAGTAAACCTCTGGGTTTAGAAGCATCTTTGAATCAAGCAATCTCATACTCACTCTAACCACATTCATCTCAGGGCGGTAATTATGAATGATCCCCAAGAGACCAGTTAAAACAACTGACATGTTTATACCAATGTATGTTTCAGTTGATAGTCACAATGGGTTTTCTTTTCCAACTCGGTAAACAAACACCACCCATCGAACTTCAGATGCTTGCCAGTGTTCCAAAGCTAAATTAAAAAGATATGGCTTGAGTCACGTTGTCATAGAGACAAAAATGTAGTGGAGACAAAGTGAGAGAGACACTATTAAATTAGAAAAGCTGAATGAAGGCCCAGTACACACTGAAGAGCACTTGTCACTATGGAGACGGCCGTTCCAAGGGGTGAGATTTGGGCGTGCATTAGCACTTGATTCAGGAGAGCTAGTGTATCATGTCTGTCATGATGTCTCTCACAGTAGTTAGGGGGTCGGTTTTAAAAGAACCTTCAAACACTACTGCCCACAGAACGTGACAAAATGCATATCTTTTAGACGCAAAATTGTTTATCTTTTATCAAATATTTTACATTTTCATAATATCCAATTCAGTTCAATTCAATCCAATCAGGCACCCCTTAAAGACTATTTAAAATCACAACATGATTTGTGTTAAAAAAGAAATTAATAATCTAAATGCCACAATTTAATAATCTAAGATGCCGCAACTAGCTGTCACGGGTGTGGAGGAAGTGCAGGTGGATGAGGAAGACAGATGAGCCAGATACTTCAATGCAAACACTTTACTTCAATTTCAAACATCCAATGGAACGGAACAGAAAGGAATATACTCAAACCACGAACATAGGTTCAGGAACATCCAGCAACATAAGTACAACGATCGACAAGGACTGAAGGAAACTGAGGGAACTAAATACACAGGGGAATCAAACATAATGATGTGCACAACAGGTGAAAATGATGAACAGACGAGGAACAGGTGGCTGATGAGGGAGTGAGTTCGGGTGTGGAGACAAGAGGATCCTGGGAAGTGTAGTGCTGGAGACGCAGACAGGATGGTGCAGACGAAGGACTGTGACACTAGCCAGGCGAATAAGTTATTATAGCAACTTATATATAAGTTGAATATACTAAAATATATTTATATACTGTAGAGCAATATATAAATAAAAAAATAATATATATATATATTATTTAAATAAAATACTTCTATTTGTAATTATTGTATACTATTTTTGAATTATATATATATATTATTTTTATTATATATATTTTATTTTTGAATTATATTATATTTTATATTATTTTTGAACCTTTTTAAAAAAAGGTTTATCAAATATAAATCAGGTAGATCATAGACATAATACAATAAGCTACACTAAATATAATTTATGAATGAGTGCACATGTTGTTAAACAATTAAATACATACATACAGAAAGAAATGCCTTTGTAATCATATTGCATATTTATAAAATATACATAAAAATGATTTAAACTTAAATAATGAAAGTCCTGTCTAAAATAAAAAAAGAGAACATTGTCTCATTAATGACTTAAATGATACTAAGCAAATTGTGATTTTAAATAAAGGCTTTCATTTGTAGTGCTACTTTTGTAAATTTTTGGCTTTGTTTAATAAAGCATCAGTAACTTTTGTAACAGGCTTGGTATTTGTTCTGAAATCAGAATATTCGATAACAATCCCGAACTTGATGGTAATGTTCGTAGACAACCTTTGAGTTGGCTTGAAAAAGCATAGCCAGAAAGTTTTAAAATGTCTTACAAAAGCGAGAGATTACAAAAGCAACAGAAACAAGCTGTTCTCCATAAAATGTGCAGTCCACAGATAAACGTTGGGGTTATAATGTTCCAGCCTGACTTCGTCATACTCATATTCTGGTCAGAATGTAAGTCTGAAACTCCTCCGTAGGGCTTTGATTATGAGGCGTGTCTTAACCGAACCAGGAAAAAAAAAAAACTCTGCGCTCAATTGGATAGTCGGTAGACCTACAACCAATCAGAGCAATGCAGAAAGTCAACTACTTTGCATATCAGTTGTCAACAGAACTTACTTTTTTTAGAAGTAAAATAACGAGTGTTGCTTCTTTTACTTACTCCTCCATGAGTGCGACCAAAGGAGAAACCACAATGACCACAGGTTTTTTCATTACGTCCCATCTTCTTAGCGACCGTCAGAGCCAGCTGATAAGTTACACTTTTGCTGAATCATGTAGGAAGGACAGCAAAAATATCTTTCCGATCGACAAATGCCTTGATTGAAGTTCTCTGTTTGTCTATTAAAATGAATGCGCTGTCGATTTATTTCAGACTCGACAGCGGAATCTATACATCTCAATTCTCCAGCTGCAGTCATCTTTGATAAGCGCTCTTTGATAACGTGATGATTACGTCCCTGAAGATCACCTGTCAATCATCGTATAAAGCCCGTCCTGGCAATTTGATTGGCCCATTCATTTTTTGACTGATCATAATTACTCCTCGAGTCCAGATCGAACTTCCCGACCAAAAAATGTTGTGGGCGGAGTCCGGGCTGGCATCCAGGCTAATAATGTTCAAGAACAGAGTTTAAAATCAATTTTAGCTACTCTCGTCAGCCTTAGGCCGTGTGTCCACCAAAGCGTTTTTAGCCAGCTGAAAGACGCCGTGCTTTGGGCGCTTGAGAGCGTTTTGGCAGCGTAGCGTTTTTCCGTTGAAACGTTTCGTTGCTATGATACAGAATATCCGCAGCAGTTTGAATGTTGACAGTTGGTCGGTGTGGTTTTAGTCCCGCCCCTCCTCCACTGTGATTGGACGGCTGGGTAAAAAGTGACAGTGATGAACGCTGCGTTTTATCCAAAGTTGAATATTTTTCAACTCCCAGCGACCAGTAAAAACGCCGGGCGCTTGGCGCTTCAGCGTGAAAAAAACGCTCAGCGCCTCGGTACGCTCATGTCGTTTAAAAAACGCGGCGCTCCCATTGAAAACAATTGAAAACATACGCCAGGCGCGTGGAAAAACGCTTTGGTGGACACACGGCCTTAGAAAGGTCGAACAAATGAGTTTTGGAAATGTTGTGTAAAAAAACACATCTCTTTGACGTAGCGTCAACACTGTCTTCTGTAATGCTGCTCAGCCAGTCCCTTTTTTTGCTTATTCCGTGGGCGTTATTATTTAAATGAGTAGCTACCATTGTGACTTCATACGCCTTATTCACGGCAGCGCCATCTTTGATTTTTAATGAGAATGAAAGCGAGGCTGTGAGGGATAAACTTGCATCTCTTCAATGGGCTGTACTGTTATTTAATGTGTTTTCGGATTGTTCTGCTCATGAAACACTGGAAAAATATCTTTCCAAGAAATGTCAGTTGACAAAAAACTCCCGACAATCAATGTAAGCTGTGGAAAATTGTAAGTAATCAGCTTTATTCAGCTTTTTACAGCGGATGCCATTGGAAACACGGTAAGTCTATCCCTCACAGCCTCACTTTCATACCTGTCATGGCGCTGCTCTGAATAAGGTCTATAGTTCTTGGAAAGTGGATTCTGTTAAATAAAATATCTCCCCTTAGGAGTGGAGCTTTGCAACCTTGCCAGATCTTGTTGATGCTCAAACAGCAACATTTCACACTAACTAAAGTTGAAAAAGTGAGAAAGCATTAAAGGACGTCACCTCTCTAAAAGTGGATCAGCGCACTGACTGCACTAAAGTCCTTGTAAAACTCCCCCTGCTGGCAGAAGTAAATCACTGATCCTCTCTCACTGGAGCTATAAATAATGATCTCCTTTCTCAGACTTTCAGAACAGCACAGATCAATACTGTGGCAATGTATCACACAGACTATATTCACCTATTCTGCAGAAGAAGAAAAAACAGTGTTCTGATAGTAGCCTAGTAGGGAGACGGAGATTTCAGATGCTCTGTTCCAAAGCCTAGTGAACGGTCTACCGGCATTTTAAGCCAACAGAGGCTTTTCCAAAAAATCAAGTGTTGCCTAAATGTAAGATATCCAATGTGTGGTGTAGTAGAGAATTAAAAAAAAATGCATTGTACCAAGTATAGAGATGAAATAAAGATTTAGGAGGCTAGAAAGATTTAGAATATTTCATTAATAACTGAAGAACTATTGCTAGAATAATTAAAATTGAAAAAAAATCTAATCATTATTTTTAGGATGCTGTCTAAAAAGAGCCTGCAAGAGTTGTGTTCAGACTTTTAAGAAGTGAACGTCATTAAGAAGAAAAGCAAATGAGATAATATCTCATGCAGGCTCAGATGAAGGCTGTAACCTTGACCCCTACTTATGGCCAATTAGCCTTTCCCCAGTGAGTGTGTAGATGTGTGTGGGCTGCTTGTGAGATGGCCTAATCAGCTTACTGCTCAAAGAGATCAAAGACTACACACACACGCCTGCACACAGACACACACAGACAGACCGAGAATCAATGCAATAGGATTTTGAGCTGTCAAAGTTTTCAACTAGTTTTCAGTGATCTGTTAAAAAGTTTCTGTTTCTTTCAGGCTGTTTAAGCAAATTCAATTTGAAGGAGCAAATGCGGCACATTAGTGCCCCTTTGTGGTTGATATAATTATTACACCCATGTAGTCCACCTGCTAAAAGAACAATCTGGGTTCAAAATCAATTAATATAAATCGTGATGAAGTTGTACTTTTGGAAGACGCCTTTAAAGATGATTAATAATTTATTTTTCGGGAAGTTCAAAGACTAACACAAATTGACGTTTAGTTCTATTTAACTTGACATATAACTCAAATAACATGGTATTATGTTTCTAAAATGTGATAAAGGAAGACCGTTAACTTCAAAGTGAGGCAGGATAAATCACTTTATTGTATGAGGTAAATTTACACTGCTTTCCAGTGCCAGTACTGGATCAATTATGGTAAAAAGATGAGTTTTGAGAGTTAAAAGAAAATCATCCTTGCAAAAATGTGAGCACAAAAATATACCTTGTACTTATATTAAAATAAATACATCAGAAAGATAGGTAACATAAATTAATAATGTAATTCCTTACAGTTTATACTTTTAATTGGCTGGGTTGAGATATTTAATAAATTACACTGCAAACTGTTTAAAATCTTTAAAAAATAATTTATACAAAAATAATTTGAGTGGAAACACATCGGTTTACTACACTGTGTCTGTCATAACTCCCTAAAAGCAGAAAGAGTGATTTATGAGGAACCTTGATGGCTGAGATTGTGCCTCAGAATGATGTCATTTCCTGGTCCCTATCAGATGTTGTGCTTTGGTGCTCTGGAAGTCTGTAAATAGCACAGGAAAAAAACAGTCAAACGAATGACAAGCAAGAAAAGCATTTATTTCTCTAAATTAAATAACCGTCTAACTGCGTTTAACCCATGCAATCTCTGTTTTACAGTAATGTCTCTCTCCAATGTTATCTGTAGTAATTGTGCATTTTAGTTATCACATCTTTCTGTGAAAAGTCCAAAAACTGACTCTGATTCTAAATGTGATTCTGATTAACATCTGAAATGATTTGCACTACCATCCAAAAGTTTGGGGTGGGCAAGACTTTTTAATGTTTTGAAAGAATGCTCTTATGCTCGTCAAGCCTGCATTTATTTGATTAAAACAAAAGTTATACTGTGAAATATTATTATAATTCGAAATTACTTCTTCATTTTAATATATTTTACAATGTAATTTATTCCTCTGATGAAAAGCAGAATTTTCAGCTCCAATATTCAGTGTCACATGATATAAAAATTATAAAAAAATCATTGATATGTGCTGATTTGCTGTTGAAGAAACATTTCTTATTTATCAATTTTGAAAAAATTGTTGATAAATTGTTGAAAATTTGTTGATTAATAAAAAGTTTAAAAAACATTTATCTGAAATAGAAATTTGTAACAATGTAAAAATTCCTCACTCTCGGATAAATTTAATGCATCCTCGATGAATAAAAGTATTAATTTCCTTCAAAAAAAAAACAAAAAAACACACACAGTCAGGGTAGTCTGTATGTTATGCTTATTATTCCAAATGTGTCCAATAGTGGGACACACACAAACACTGAGCATTTTGACAGCTTTACTGAGATTTATTAGGAATGTCCAAATGAATCAAGCTCCAACAACATAGGATATTGAAGCAATATGACGCTTGATTAAAAAATTCATCTTACTTTGATCCATCCTCACTCAATCTTACATCCTTTCCTCGTGTTTTAAAAGACAAGATCTAAGACGCAAGGAAATGAAACAAGGATCCACAATCAAAGAAAAGAGAAGAACCCTGACCATTAAATCCAATCTTCATCACACCTCAAAGTTTCCTCATCTTCGCCAGTCAGAGGGAACATACGCCTCTTCCATGGTGGCAATGGCTATATAAGAGGGGACAACATGAATACAAGTTTGATAGACAGGCAGATGAGATAAAATATAATAAAAATATAAATATATTTGACCTCTCTGTCTTCCACACTGGCTTCTGACGGAGCTTCAGGAGGACTGAAGGGGACAGGAGAATATACAGATGTGTGACGGTGAGGAAGGTAGTCTCTCACAGGTACAGATGAACAGCTTCTCCTGGGGAAAGAAAAGGAAAGACACAAAAAAAGAAGAGTTCAATCATCAGCAGCAAATATGTACTTTATCTAAAATAATACACACAGACCTGATCTGGTTTCTTCCGTCCTGATCCCAGTAAGACCAGAGTTTCTCTCTGTGCTCATAACTCTGGTGCCTCTGAATGAAATCTTCATCTTCTATTTCTTCTAACTGAGAGAGATAAAGCCCATCACTCCACAATAAACCGCCTCTGATGACATTCAGCATTTTTATGACCTACAGTAAGTTTACAACTATAAAACTTACCTCTTCCTCCTGATCATCATCCTCTCTTTCCAGTAAAGGAGAAATATCTACCTTTCGCCAACTGCAGTGAGAAAAGAGAACAAACGAGAAAGAAAATTCATCCACATCTTTATGCATCAGCAGTTATTGAAAGTGAAGCCTACATCTCACAATTGGTACTTATCATTTAGTTATTTTTTTTCTGGAAATTTTCTGGAAAGAAAAATTGTTTGTACTGACAAGTAATGCCAAACATAACCATGCCAAAATGCCTAAAATAACCAAAAGATTATTAGTGATAACAAATTTAAGAAGAATCTTATGAAGAAACACCATCTTAGAATTCAAATACACACTATCGTTCCAAAGTTTGGGGTCAATACAGTTTTCTGTTTTGAGAAATTAATACTTAAAGGAGTAGTTCACCTTTAAAAAAAATCTTTTGCTGATAATTTACTCACCCCCATGTCATCCAAGATGTCCATGTCTTTCTTTCTTTAGTGGAAAAGAAATTAAAGTTTTGGATGAAAACATTCCAGGATTTTCTCCATATAATGGACTTCAATGGGAACCAAACGGTTCAAGGTCCAAAAGACAGTTTCAGTGCAGCTCCAAAGGACTTTAAATGACACCAGACGATGAATAGGGTCTTATCAAGCGAAACGATCGGCCATTTAAAAAATAAATAAAAAAGTTTACGTTTTATAAGAACAAATGCTCACCTTGCTCTGTTCTGTGATGAGCGTTCATGACTCTCCTGATCAAAATGAACAATCTTTTTTTCGAGTCATTTCGTCGCTGAATGAAACAAATGACTCGAAAAAAGATTCGTTCATTTTGATGAACGAGTTCGAACAGGAGAGTCATGAACGCTCATCAAAGAACCGAGCGAGGCGACCATTTGAGCTTATAAAACTTAAACTTTTTTATTTATTTATTTTTTTTAAATGAGCGATTGTTTCGCTTGATAAGACCCTTATGTCGTTTAAAGCCCTTTGAAGCTGTACTGAAACACTTTTTTTTTTGGACCTTGAACTGTTTGGTTCCCAGTAAAGTCCATTATATGGAGAAAAATCCTGGAATGTTTTCATCAAAAACCTTAATTTCTTTTCGACTGAAGAAAGAAAGACATGGACATCTTGGATGACATGGGGGTGAGTAAATTATCAGCAAAAGATTTTTTAAAAAGTGAACTACTCCTTTAATAATACTTATATATTCAGCACAGATGAATTAAATGGATCAATGGTGATTTTAAAGGCATTTATAATGTTAAAAAATATTTCTGTTTCAAATAAATGCTGTTTTTTTAAACTGTCAATTTAACAAAACAATCCTGAAAAAAATGTCTCACAGTTTCCACTGTTTTCAACATTCATAATACAGTAATAATATTTTTTCCTGAGAAGCAAATCAGTATATTAGAACAATTTCTGAAGGATTACGTGACTTAATTCAGGATTAAATTACATTTTAAAATATATGAAAATAGAAAACTGCTATTTTAAACTGTAATAATATTTCACAATATACGTTTGTACTGTATTTTTGATCAATGCAGCCTTGGTGAGCATTTGAAAAAGACATTTCAAAAATCTTTTTGACCCCAAACTTTTGAATGGAAGTGTATTTCTACTGCAGTAAACATGTCCTGACACGTAAAAATCTGGCTGGTGTCATTGTTGCCATGTGAAAACAATCAATACCTGGGTGTCAAAATGTTCTTATACTGAAGACGCTCCACTTTCACTGAGTTGAACAGAGACATGGGAACGACAATGTCATCAATGCTGAAAACACTCTCACAGTTCCTCCTGCGCAATGGGAACTAAAACAAAACAGGACAGAATATGATTACTTTCCTCAGACTAACTAGATTAGCATTCCCCTCAAGGTAAGAAACACTGATCTTTGTTTGGATTAGAGCAAACTGAGATACACAGTATATCTCATGGTTTGGTCAAAGGGCAGACCTGTGAGTTTCTCTGTTGTTTGGGTGAACAGTAAGAGACGGTCACGTCCTCGAAAGATTCCTCCACAAGACTGTCATCACTCTGGGAGATCAGATCAGACTTGAGAGTAATGCTGGAGATCTGCAAATCTAGATCAAAGCAGTATTACTACCTTCAACATCTCAGAGTCTTTGTTGTATTTGAGTGAAATGAAACACATGTACCCATTGGCCTGTCAGAGCAGCGCCTCCTCCTCTTGCCCTCCTCCCTGTAAGCTCGCCTGCGGTGCTCTCGGGCACATGCCCGTCGTATAGGAGTGCTTTCCCGCCTGGGTCTCTTCAAATGCCTGCCATTTTTTGGTCGATGACTGCAATCTATAATCATTAATTGTAGAACAAAAAGGCACATTCCTATTCATCAGAACATGCATATTTATAAGAAAACAGAAAATACATATATGGCACCCATGGGTGAGTTTCACAAAATGTCAAGATCACATCCAGGTCATATTTTACCCAAAAAATCTAAATAAGGGAAGTAAATATTTTTTACATTGTGACTATATTTCCATTACAATGAATCACATTTATGCCCCATATTTAATTATCGTAATGTAATGCAAAATTGGCTTTAATTTTTATGATTTAATTTTTTTTCTAATCAGTGATGAGAATATAATTAGAATCCCCTCTGATGACAGATCGATAGATTGATAGATAGATTCAAATAATCTTTATGGCTCTCATCTTTTTGGCTTTATAATGCAAAAAATAGTTTCTGAATGTTTATTTTAGGAGGGTTTGTTGTGCATGGACTTCCCAACACGTGACTGTTAAACAGGATTGGGTTGTTTGAGATTGTGTTATTTTCAATAAAAAATTTTTTTAAAGGAGTAGTTCACTTAAAAAAAACTTTTGCTGATAATTTACTCACCCCCATGTCATCCAAGATGTCCATGTCTTTCTTTCTTCAGTCGAAAAGAAATTAAGGTTTTTGATGAAAACATTCCAGGTTTTTCTCCATATAATGGACTTCAATGGGAACCAAACGGTTCAAGGTCCAAATGAGAGTTTCAGTGCAAACTGTTCAAAGGGCTTTAAACGACACCAGACGATGAATAAGGGTCTTATGTAGCCTCGAAAAAAGCCTCGAAAAAAGATTTGTTCATTTTGATGAGCGAGTTCGAACAGGAGAGTCACAAACGCTCATCACAGAACAGAGCAAGGCAAGCATTTGTGCTTATAAAACTTAAACTTTATTATTTATTTTTGAAATGAGTGATCGTTTCGCTTGATAAGACCCTTATTCATTGTCTGGTGTCGTTTAAAGACCTTTGGAGCTACACTGAAACTCTCATTTGGACCTTGAACCGTTTGGTTCCCATTGAAGTCCATTATATGGAGAAAAACCTGGAATGTTTTCATCAAAAACCTTAATTTCTTTTCGACTGAAGAAAGAATGACATTTACATCATGGATGACATGGGGGTGAGTAAATTATCAGCAAAAGTTTTTTAAAAAGTGAACTACTCCTTTAATAATAATCATGGAGATTATGGAAATTCTAAGTGGGCTGCAAGACCACAATATATTTCGACCCTGATGAAATATCACTGGTGTGTATGTATGTGTGTGTGTACTGTCGACAGTGCCTTCAGGCAGGACTTGTGAGTTACTGTGATTTGTGAGTTTGTGTATCTCCACTCATGTTCTGGAAGCTAAAGGATTGCAGATAGACCGCCTGAGCCACAGAGATAAACATAGACAATAGACCACAACATGACTGAACCCAACAAGCAGCCTACACACACTTTACATCATCCCACACACTGGACTTCAGAACTCAGAAGAACGGACATTAAATGATCATACACATCCAGGTCATGTGATGAAAAAGAGCAACCATGAGATGACTGTTAAGGATTTATTCCTAGCTTTTGTAGTTATTTTTGTAGTTCGTTCACTGACGACAGGGGTGCTGAAAAGCACTGACAGAAAATCAACTAAACAGCATGAGGTGTGTGTTTTATTTTAGAAACCCGTACCAAAAGTCCATTCCAGTGCAATCACTCACTAACTGACAATATCTCTCTGTTATGAATATCATGGCTGTTTCAGGATCATTAGGCCCCCTAGTAAGACAATAACCAGCCGAGCAGAGAGAAGCAGAGTGGCAGAGCATTAATGATTAGAGTGTGTGAGTCAGAGTCCAGTGCCAGGTTGGCTCACTTCAACCTCAGCCACTGCATTAAGACTGTGGAGCAGATATCGACTTCAGCATGACCTCCAGATCTGCACTGGGTATGTGTATTGAAAACTATTGAGGACAGAGGTGCCTGAACATATTTAGACAAACATGCTGATTGTGATGTCACAACATGGAAATCAATTAGGTTAGGTTTAATATTGTATTTTATGTTTTAATAAATAAATGGTACATAAAAATAAAAAAACAACTACCGTTTAAAAGTTTGCGGTTGGTAGGTTTCTTTGTTTTTTGAAAGGATGCATTAGGATTATTTGATCAAAAATAGTTTGAAATATCATTTCAGTTTAAATGAACCGTTTTCTATTTGAATATATTTTAAAATAGGATTTATTCCTTTGATGTCAAAACTGAATTTTCAGAAGCCATTACTTCAGTCTTCACTCTTCAGTGTCACATGATCCTTCAGAAATCATTCTAATATGCTAATTTAATATGCTCAATTAAAGGAGTAGTTCACTTTAAAAAAAAAACTTTTGCTGATAATTCACTCACCCCCATGTCATCCAAGATGTCCATGTCATTCTTTCTTCAGTCGAAAAAAAAATTAAGTTTTTTTTATGAAAACATTCCAGGATTTTTCTCCATATAATGGACTTCAATGGGAACCAAATAATTAAAAAAAAAAAGTTTTTTTTATGAAAACATTCCAGGATTTTTCTCCATATATTGGACTTCAATGGGAACCAAATGGTTCAAGGTCCAAAAGACAGTTTCAGTGCAAACTGCTAACTGTTCAAATGGCTTTATACGATTCCAGACGATGAATAAGGGTCTTATCAAGCGAAATGATCGCTCATTTAATAAATAAATAACAAAGTTTAAGTTTTATAAGCTCAAATGGTCACCTTGCTCTGTTCTGTGATGAGCGTTCATGACTCTCCTGTTCGAACTCGTTCATCAAAATGAACATCTTTTTTCGTGTCATTTGGTTCATTCAACGAAAGAAATGAACGAGTTGACTCAGGAAAAGATTTGCTCATTTTGATGAACAAGTTCGAACAGGAGAGTCACGAACGTGCATCACAGAACAGAGCAAGGCGATTATTTGAGCTTATAAAACTTAAACTTTGTTATTTTTTAAAAAAATGAGCGGTCGTTTCACTTGATAAGACCCTTATTCATCGTCTGGAATCGTTTAAAGCCCTTTGAACAGTTTGCAGTTTACACTGAAACTGTCTTTTGGACCTTGAACCATTTGCTTCCCATTGAAGTCCATTATATGGAGAAAAATCCTGGAATGTTTTCATCAAAAACCTTCAATTCAACCTACTTCATGATCTCACCCAAGGTTATTTTGTGGTATTTTTAAGCTAGAAACTGATTCTTATATTTTTTGTTCATTAAGCTTTTTGACTTCCATGGTGATTTTAGTGTCAATTCAAATTTAAGGTTTTGTTATATGTGTTCAAAAAAAAACAAGTGTTTGTTTTTTTTTACTTTGATTCAACAAGGATGCATTAAAGGAGTAGTTCACTTTTAAAAAAAACTTTTGCTGATAATTTACTCACCCCCATGTCATCCAAGATGTCCATGTCTTTCTTTCTTCAGTCGGAAAGAAATGAAGGTTTTTGATGAAAATATTCCAGGATTTTTCTCCATATAATGCAGTTTACTGGTAACCAAATGGTTCAAAAGACAGTTTCAGTGCAAACTGCAAACTGTTCAAAGGGCTTTAAACGATTCCAGAGATGATGAATAAGGGTCTTATCAAGCGAAACGATCGCTCGTTTTAAAAAAAATAACAATCTTTAAGTTTTATAAGCTCAAATGGACGCCTTGCTCTGTTCTGTGATGCACGTTCGTGACTCTCCTGTTCGAACTTGTTCATCAAAATGAACAAATCTTTTCCCGAGTCAATTTGTTCATTTCGTTCGTTGAATGAACCAAATGACAAGAAAAAAGATTTGTTCATTTTGATAAGCGAGTATGAACAGGAGAGTCACGAACACGCATCACAGAACAGAGCAAGACGAGCATTTGAGCTTATAAAACTTAAACTTTGTTATTTTTTTTATTAAATGAGTGATCGTTTCGCTTGAAACCTTAATTTCTTTCCGACTGAAGAAAGAATGACATGGACATCTTGGATGACATGGGGGTGAGTGAATTATTAGCAAAAGTTTTTTTTAAAGTGAACTACTTCTTTAATATTATTATAGCTGCTAAAAACAGTTGTGCTGCTTAATATTTTTTAGGAAACGTGAAACAATGTACAAACAATGTATAAGTCTTTACTATCATTTGTTCCTAAAATTTCTTAAAAAAAAGTCTTACTCAAACTTTCAAACGGTAGTGTATAAGTTGTACATTTTGATCAAATTCTTCTTTAAATGATTAAGAAATAGGTCATAAATAAAAGCTTAAAGCTAAATGCATTAAGGGCTGTTTGAAATTGTTTTGATCATGTAAATAAAAAAGAATATCAAGGATATCATGGAAATACTACGGGGACTACAAGACTGCAATATATTTCGGCTATAAATAATTTTACCACAATGAAAGATAACTGGTGTGTGTGTAGGTGTGTACAGTGCATCAAGCTGAATTTTCACCAGCCATTACTCCAGTCTATAGTGTCACATGATCCTTTCATTATTCTACCTAATAATTACGTGTGCTGTGTATTTATATTAAAGTGTCCATTTTTCAGCTTAACAAATTGCTAATGGCCAACTTTGACAAATTGTGTTGCTATTAAAGTAATTTCTATTAAAGTAGACAAAAAAAAAACATGTGGATGCATTACATTACATTCAAATGCATCCACACACAAATGCCATGAGATGATTCTTACGGAACAACGATCGGGAGACTCTGCCTCTGGAGCCGAGACAGTGATGGGGACTGGAGCGCTCAGTATTCAGGAGGAGAGATTGCTGAAGCACATTTTCTTCAAACAGAGCATTTTGCAGATGGAATGACGCTGGAGTTTCTGATGGATAGAGCAGACAGGACACAGTCAAACCTCATTTACTGTATATAACACGCACAACAGGAAAACTTAATAGTTGCACTGCACTTATATATAGTTGTGATACAGTTGTTATGAGGCTCTGGTTAGTTAGTATGGAAACATCTGTACATAAAGAAAACATTTAAACATCTTGTCAAAACATTGTCAAATGAGAAAAATGTCAGACTTGACTGGATGTTGCATTTGAGCCATATTACAGTATGCAAAGCTTTTATTCTCATGACAACCAAGGCTAATTTGATATACCTACTCCACATTCCTAGTGCTGCACGCAATCAGAAAAACAGCAGGAACTGCACAATTTTGACATGCTGATGGAGTAACAGTCCGATATGAGACAATTTATTCTGAGTGAATTGAAGTGACAGCCTAATGCAGTCAGATGGAGGAGTGATTAATGGATCGCGGTGGTATTAACCTTTAACTTTTATAAAAAAAAACATTAATAACATAACATCCAATTACCACAGCAAAAAACTGAACAGCATTTTATCTAAAAAAGCATCCCATGTATCAATTGTGGATCATTTTACAATGCATTGTAAAATGAAAAAAATGGTGGGTGGAGTGTTTTCAGTTTTAACTATTCATCTCTACCTGAGGACAGTGATAGAACATGATGCACTTTGCCGCCTGTTCTCTCTTTTCTGCAGACAGGGTTTGTGCACACAGAGGCAGGATCACAAGAGGCGCAATTGGGAAAAAGAGAAGGGGAAGACTGCAGGACCTGTGAAGAGAGAGACAGAAAGCAGATGCAACCAAAACAGGGAGGTTATGAGTAGAGTGACCACCATCAGCCAAACCAAATGTGGGACGATTATAAGTTTGTGTGGGAAAATGTGTTACCAACACTAAAACATACCCTGAAACTGTTATATAATGTCTAACGTAATAAAAAACATTTGTATTCTGCATTTCAGCTGATAAAAAAAATCGTTGTTCTTTAGTCCCTTCCAGAAAAATAATCTTTATTTTACATGTCATTTAAATTCAACATCACTGAGCACAAAGGCAGCAGGCATCATGCAGATAACTAGTTTAGAAACAGTTCAACTAAAATCCAACAAGATAAACTGAACAAATAAAATATAAAACAACATGAAATTAGATAGACAGCCTTATATATTAAGAACGTATTAAAAACCAAAACCAAAAACTTTCATATTTTTAGAAAGGAGGTGAATTAAAACAACCACAGCAGGCAACAGGTTAAACAACAGATACATTCTGTTAAATTAAAATTTTAATTGACCAAATTATCCATTTGTTTTTTGACAGGGAACACGTGGAACGAATCACTGCTTCACATTTTGATTGACAGCCGTCACAACCTACTAGCGACCGTGTTTACTCCTTTCTTTTCAACTATTGGATAAGATATCAAAAACGGCTGTTGTATTTGTACTTACGACGAAGCGCTGTTAAATATAGGTGAAAAACTTCGTTGCAAAAATAATGAATAAAATCCTTTCTTAAAAAAGCAAAAGAACGCATGCACGTTTTCTTAATATGATAATTAAAAACTAATAGACTTTCCTCAATATGCGACGTGCGGGACAAGAGGTGAAAATGCTGTGCAGTGCAACGCAAAGCGGGACGGGTGGTCACCTTAGAGCTTATGGGCAGATGGGAGAATAAAAATAACTAATCAAATGTCTCATCCTGATGCTGAAGGCCTAATTTGCAGCTAAACGATCCAGTCTTGAATTGTCCTACTGAGCTTTAAAACAAATAAAAATAGTTGGAAGTACACGGCTAAGTTACAGTAATAAGGCCAAATAGATGACACACATTGCTCTGGGGAACCAAACATGACATAAGCAATGCATGAAAAGGAAAATCATGGCAGCCAAAATCAGACAGCTATTAAATGAGAATCATAAACAAGGTTAAAGGAAGAGCACCAGGCCAGCTGAAAAATAGACTCAAAACATGGTGTGAGTCATGGTGCAATGTGAAGAGGGCTGGCATGCCTTCTTCATTTTTTTAGCTTAATAAAAGTCCCATAATCACAATATGGCTTCACTGATTTCCTTATTTTGTGTTCCACAAAATGGCAGAAATTGACCGAATTTTCATTTTTGGCTGAACTATTCCTATAAAAGATTTAATGTTGTTTCTCTATTTCTTTTTATTATTTTTTTTTTTCCAGGTTCTGGCCTTAAAACGCAGTGAGTCTGGTTAAAAGTTCTAGTTCCAGGCTGCTCATAGAGGACACTGAAGGACAGCAGGGTAGACCTCAAATCGGCCAGCAGTAATTATAAGATTATCATCATTTATGAAAGTGCAGCTGGCCTGAGCACAGCGTGTTAGCAGTTTTCAAGAGAAAGGATAGAAAAAAGGAAGGCTATTCTTTCTGAGCTCCCCTGGGGGCTGTTGGGAAAACACACACACATACGTTGGGTCTTTATGTTTTATAGGGACATTATAGAGTGCCGAAGTGATGACGTCACTTTGTAGGACAACTCGGAAGCTAGCGGCGCATGGGTTCCCTCGGTCGAAAAGCAATGCATTTTCCCCATAGACTTTTGGAAAATCGCAAAAATTAAGATCTGTGTTTAACAAAGAGTAGTGACACTTACACATTTTGTCTATCAAGATAATCTTTACAAGTTAATCCAAAATGTATATATTTTGAAGCCTAAAGATTTTAAAAAACACAATCACACAATAAAGTTTAAAAAAACATAAGCAGGTTATAACTGTGTGTTCTATGTCATAGATCAAAACGTGAAAATATTTAGAGGCTTTGTTCACCACAGACCTTATTTCAGGCGATTTAGCAAAAACCCATTCAAAAATCCCATAGACTTTAGAGCGAGGGAACCGTAATGCTAAAATGCTAACTCACTTCCGCGTTTTGGCCTACAGAGTGACGTCGTAACTTCGGCACTCTATAGGCACAATGATGATGACTACAAACTGTATCAGTGCTGAACTTAAACTGGACAATTACTCTCTTCTAGAGTTGTTGTACAGCCAAAACAAGATCATGTGACACTGAAGACTGGAGTAATGGCTGCTGAAAATGCAGCTTAGCCTGCGCATGAATAAAGTACATTTTGAAATATATTCAAATAGAAATTAGTTATTAAAAATTATTTACTTTTAATTATTTTTAATTGCCCTAAACTTTTGAATGGTATTGTATGCTATGCCTGTATGCTGAGATAAATTTTGCTTAAAAATGCCAACCTGTTCTCTATGAGACAACGGGCCCATGACGAAAAGTCTAGGCTTGTGATAGGTCAGAAGGGGTCGAGTCCGAGCTGACATACAGGTGACATCCGCGTGAGGGAGATACTGTCGTCTGTGACATGTTCGCTTCCTCTTCTGCTTGACTTTGTGTAAACACTGTGGCCTGCTGGGAACAAAGGCACCCGTGTGTCTAAATAAATACAAAAGGAAGGAGGGATAAAATCTTCAGAAATGTTATCATACAATTAATAAAGAGGGAGAGATTCTAGTTTCTTGAACAATAATCTACCAACCAATGCTTCTATAACATTTAGGACAATTTAATCACAGTTCCATTGCTGATTTTAAACTTTCTTTATTTCCACATAATACACATTGCAGCATAATTTCTTGCAGTGTCTGAAACGGATCGATAAAGGATTCAGTCTCTTTAAACCCTTCTTTTTGAGAGGCTACTCTGCTCTGATTGGTCAGATGGCCCAGTCTATTTTGATTGGTCTGCCGCTTACAGTGCATGTCAGAAACTAAAAGGTTAATACCATATCTGTATTTCAGCTCCGGAAGCTTCCTGGGCACTTGTGTAGTATACATATTGATACGAACAGCAACAACGGCATTGATTTTACCCTGTCAATTCGAGCCCGAGTCCTCATCCATTTGAAACGCATGCAAAGTGGATTTGCATTCGCAGCACAGAAAACAGCGTCTCCTCGAAATGTCGACAACACTAAACAAACTCTTCTAGGCCCCAGCTACAACTACAGTGTTTGAGGGTGGGTCAAAGTAGATGATGTTCGCAGAAAGCCAATGACGACCAAAGGCTGGCATTATGCAAATTTGTTACAAACATACGTAGCTTCATACATGAAGACTGGAATTTTCTCAGCTTTGCAGACCATTTGTACATTCAAGCTATATATGACAAACTACATAAAAAGTAAGATCCAAGCAACCAAAATAGGGGTACTTTAAATAAATGACATATCTGAGGTTAATTTTAGCCTGTTGATGAGCTTGTAGTAGGGGTTTCATCAACTAGTCGACTAGTCGACTGTCACAACCACTAGTTGGCGCTGTTGGCCTTAGTCGACTAGTCGGAAACAAAATGATGACATATATATAGATATATTTTTTGTTAACTATCCCTTTAAATACAAGCGGCAGTACTATATACTATAAGCACTATAAGGCACACCTTCAATGACCTATTTTAGAACATTTTTCAAACGTTTGACTGGGTTTGCGTTATGCATCCACTAGATGTGCTAAAGGGAATGCAGCGAGTGCGAGGCGTCGGAGGTGAGGCGTTTATTTAGTAAGCGTGAGCGCGCTGGGGCGGGCACGTAACTTACATTCGCAGCCTGCTGACAGCAGTGTCTGTTCGTGTGTGTGTTAGAGAGAGCGCTTGTGAGCGGGAGATATTTTATACGAGGTTGAACTGGCCGTGTGACAAAGCGGGCATAAGATGGACACGAGCGCGAGCAATTGATGATCCATATATAATGCGCTCCGGATTATAAAGCTTGAGAAAAGGCCGGATTGAGAAAATTAAAGGCTTTTAAGTGCGCTTTATAGTGCGGAAAATACGAGTACTCTCGCTTTTAGACCAGCACGCGACGTGTTTAATATAGACGCATATTAGCCTACACCAGATTTTCTCTCAAATGTTTGCTTTCACTTTCTATATGGGGAGGCTGCACTTTAGACATAGCCAATTTTTGTTTATGTAAACATTGTGTGTATTTAACAGTATTAGCATAATAAGACTTGAAAGATAACTTAGTCCAGTATTCAGGCGCTGTTTGACAGGCTTCTAATGCCTGTGAGCGTCGGGGATATGCCGCGCGCTCAGGAAAGCGCACGTTAGAACAGCGCGTGAATTAAATGTTTAACCGCCAAGGCTTATGCAAACAATGAACTTTTGTGAATTGCAGTGTCCCGTACCTATTCCTTAACGTGTGATGTGTAGGCTACGTCGCGTTTTACAGTTGAGACAGAGGCGCCAGAACTGATAGAATGCACTGTAACACGATACTACTACGACCATATTTCTTCAAAAGCAGATCGTGGAGACATTTACTATTCGTGATGTCGCACACCGCTAGAATAAACCATTTAACGACTAGTCGACTAGTCGTCGACTGTTATGCAAAACTAGTCGACTAGCAAAAATCAGTAGTTGTGAAACCCCTAGCTTGTAGGTGCAGATTAGCTCCTCACCTGCTGTAAGTTGTGTTCTCTTGGCCTCTCCAGCGATTGCAGGGTCCTTTAGACGTAGGTGATGAAGAAGGTGAGGCACACAAAGATGGCATTAGGCTGTTCACAATCTGAGTCAGCTGTGCACTCTGAACACACACAGACACAGTCATGAATCTTGTGGGATTGATTTAATCAGTGTTTACATCTGTTTTTGTCTAAATGCCTGTGCTTTTCTTAAAGGAACACTCCGACTCTTTTGGACTTTAGCTTATTCACTGTTTCCCCCAGAGTTAGATAAGTCCATACATACATTTATCATCTTTGTGCGTGCTGCAACTCTATCTAACACACCCACCGCTAGCCTAGCTTAGCACAAAGACAGGATTTAAATGGCTACAGCTAGCATAATCCCAATAAGACACAAAATAAAGAAAAAAAATCCTATTTACCTGTTGTGATTTGGGTAACGCTTCCTTTTACAGTACAGTACTTACAGTGTACTTACCTAGAAAGTACTGGCTAATAAAAGGTAAGTACATGGAAGAGGGGTAGGTTCAGGGTTAGTACTAGTTATTACCCAGTAATTGTAGTTACTAAAATAAGTACATAGTATTTACATGGGTAACTGGACTGTAAAAGGAAGCGTTACCGTGATTTGCATAGTCACAGAGTGTACAAATAAAAAGGTAATATGAGACACAACCATCTTTTAACCATATAAATATTGGGAACTATATTCTCAGAAGGCGAAGCACTGCTACGGTGCATCTCAGGTGCTGCGGTTATCACGCCGCCCAAGTAGCAGTGCTGCCTTCTGAGAATATAGTTTATAGTAGGATTAGGATGCTAGGTGTAGCCATTTACATCCAGTCCTTGTGCTAAGCTAGGCTAGTGGTGGGTGCGTCAAACAGAGTTACAGCACGCACAGAGATGAGAAAGGTATGTATGGACTTGTCAAACTCTGGGGGATACAGTGAATAAGCTAAAGTCCAAAAAAGTCATGGGGGCGGTTTCCCGGACAGAGATTAAGCCTAGTCCTAGAATAAAACGGCCCTTTAAACCTGATTAACAAAAATCTGCTTTCTATGTCATGGCTTTAAATAGTCCTAGATTTAGTTTAATCCAGAGTTTAATAAGCCGATTTCCTGGAGGAAGACTACAGTTACTCCAGGACTAAATTGAGTCTTAAATTAAACCTACCAGGAGGCAGGTTTAACTTCAGATTAACTTTGTGTTTCAAAGAAGACACCTGCATTACTTGGATACACACACATTCAGTACATATATTAATATATCATTTAATTATGTTTTAATTGTATCGGGTTTCTTGTTAAAATGTGATTAGTTCATGTTAAACTAACTTGAAATGGTCACTTAACTTTGACTTCACTTGATGTTTTAATTTTGAAATATGTTTCAATCTAGTAACCTATACATGATATTCACTTCCCATCATGCTTTGCACAGGGCTGAAATGTAAATTTTTAAATAAAGTGATATTTTATGCAATTATTTTATTAAGATGAGAAAACAGAGAGAATGTTTAATGTTCTATTATTATGTTGTTATTTAAACGTTTATGTTATGTTAGTATTTTGGGGGGTTACCGTTTTGGTGAAGCCTTGGATCGAGGACCTGCTACAAAAAGTCAAGTTGTATAATTAATAAAAGCAACCCCTAGGTACTACTCTAGTTGAAAGTATTGCTTCTAGACTGTCAAAACCGAACCCCACATGTGTAAAGTAATGTTTTAGTAAGTTCGTTATGTAAATCACAGGAATAAACAAGAAGCATTAATTATATCATATGAGTTGTTTGAATAATTGATTTTAAATGAAAACCATTCATTGTTAAAGAACATCATTGATTCTAGTTGTACATTGTTGATTTTACATGTATATGTATTTTGTTATATACACAAACAAATTTCCGACATTTCTTCTCTTTTATTCCATAGCTGGTGTGTGCAGATTATTTAGCTTGCATAAAAATAATTTTCTCTTGTTAGTTTATGTTTTTTGATTGCAATCTTTTTCTGATCCCATTGTTTTCCTTGGATTTTCTTCTCAGTTCCATGCAATTTTAAGCTTTTCTTGGTTCATTCCGTGTTTTATAGGCAACCTCTGTCATGCTAATTCAGATTAGCACAGTTGGTTTTAATTTAATCTGATTTATTTTAGTTCAGGACTCCATAGTCCAAGTGTAACTAATCTGTACTTAATCTGTGTTACAAAAAGCCATTTTTTAAGACACGATTAACTATTCTAGATTAAGGCCTACTCCAGGCTTAATTTAAACCCTGTCCGGGAAACCGCCCCAAAGTGTTCCTTTAAAAGAGGAGTTCACTTTAAAATGATTAAATGATCATATAGTGACTGCAGTGGCTTAAGAATCCTTAAGAATCCCTTAAGAAGCCTATGGAAGAGTGATCCAGCTCTCAGATTTCATCAAAAATGTCTTAATTTGTGTTCCGAAGATGAACATTGGAACAACATGAGGGAGAGTAAATACTGACAGAGTTTTCATTTTTGGGTGAACTATCCCTTAAAGTCGAATCCGTTCGTTTGGCCGGAAGTTAGTTATTTAACTTTATAAAGTTTATAATATGGATATTTTCCTAGCACAAACTCATCGCTTTGCTTCAGAAGGCCTTTATTGACCCAAAGGAGCCGTATGGAGCACTTTTGTGGTGGATGAATGGATGCACTTTTATGAGCTTCAAACTGATGGTTGCAATCCACAGCCATTATCAAGCTTGGAAGCGTTAGAGTGTTTATTAATATGCATAACTCTGATTGTCTTCGTCTGAAAGAAGAAAGTCATATACACCTAGGATGGCTTGAGGGTGAGGTAATTTTCATTTTAAAGTGAACTACTCTTTTAAGCACCTGTCTCTCAATGTTCCTCAGAAGGCGTGTGGGGCTGCTGGGCTCCATCTCTGGATCAGAGTGCAAATCTCGCATGTTGCCAGCTGTGAACGATAGATCCATAGTCTCTGTCCACAAGGTGTGTTGGATCTGTCTGTCAGTCAGGGGCTGAGACTCTGCTAAAACCACATGACCCTGGAAGACAAATCAAAAACACTCAATGCGCCATTCAGAACTGAACTGTGATTTTATTTGATTTTAATTCAAGTTCAATTCAACTTCAATTGAAGTATTTAATAGCAGTAGTCTTGTCATTCAAACTTGAATTTAAAGAAGTAGAATTAAAATGTAATGAAATGTATTTTATCCAAATGCATGTTTTTCTTAATAATAATAATAAAAATGATGAATTGCATTTCAAAATGTTTAATAATCAATGTTTAATTAGTAAATTCAAGTATTCTGGAAAATTAGGTGTGCTATTATATTTAATAAATTAATTTTCATTTTAAAAACTATGGTGGAAGTGCAATTCACTTTCCCAGAATTCTCAAATTTACTCAGTATATCTTCGTTAGATTAAAATGACAATATGTACATTTATAAAACTATCTAAAAAAAAAATATGGTGGCCATTTTAATGTGTTGAATGCAAAAATGTAAATATTGATGTCTGTGTTTTGACTTTAACTGTTTAAGTCTTCCACATACATAGTAAGTCAAAATGTGTGATGTCATTGTTACAGCATTTATATTTTGACTGTTTGGAAATTCATCTGTTATGCAAGACTATTGAATATCTCCTGACTAAATTCCTTTTTAGTCATTCCAGTTCACTATCCTGTTAGACATGGCCATTTCAAATTCACAGGGAGAGTATTAATTTCTTAAAATGTTTAATTCTAACTGCACAGCCCATTTCCATCCTGATCTACTAGTCCTTCACCTTATTAGAAAGGATCTGCTGCTGGAGTTTTCCAAGCCACTGAATCTGAGAGTCCAGCTCAGAGAGTCTCATCTGAAGCCACGTCCAGCGACTGCAGAGTTCAGCTCTGTCCTTCAGCCATCTCCACTCACAGACACGACAGCTGCCCCCCACAAAGACAGGAAAGGGTCATGAGAGCTGAGATTTTATCCAAACTGACTTCACACAAAGACAATTCTCCAGGAGCAACCATGGCAGAGTGTTTAGGAAACCTGTTCATGGAACTGACCCAAAACTTAACAATCACACAGGCAGTCTGTCTGTCTTCCAAATAGATACATTAGCACAGACTCTCACCCAAATTGGCAAATTCCAGGAATATCTACAAAGCAGTGGAGCAGTGAACACAAACAAATACAATGGGAAGAATGAGATCTTCCTCCTCACTATATTAACAAACTCTTCAGCTCTCTAGCCAGCCTACTTTCTCTCTCAGAGTCGACACATTTACAGTCAAGCCATCTTCATTTATTTGTAAAACAATGTAGATCGTTCCAAAGCTGCTTTACAGTGATAATAGGAAATTAATATAACAGAGATTGTTTTGGCTTTATGACAGCTCTAGAATAAAGTTATTTTACAGCTAAAGTTAGTTTTAACTGATTCATTTCCGTCGCAACAATCATTAGTTATTAGCTTAGAGGCCACTAACATGACACCGTTACTCTTAAGTTCTCTCTATGCAAACTTTGAAAAAGCGAACTTGTGAGAACGCTGATGGCGTGCACATGCGTTATTAAGAGTTTATTCTATAGGTATGGCCGTTTTGCGCAACAAATGGCAGTCATAGAACAAGTGAGCTACCAAATCTAGCATTCCTGAATTACAAATATGATACCACAGAATCATAGATGGCTTCCTTTGTTCCACAAGGGAGTTCAAATTATATAAAATCACTACATACACTCTTTCTTGCACTGCATATATTCCAAAGCCAACTAAACAGACACTGAAGCTCCAGTAAAATTTTGGGTCCTTTGATTGTTTTTAGAATTAAGTAACCACAACCTAACCACAAAATGTGAACATCTGTGAAAGGAAAGAGAGTACTGACGTCAAAGGTGTGCATTCCACTGGCTGAGAGCCCAATCTCAATCCACAAACAGTGCCCTTAAGCAATTCAGTTACTAAAGCCAGATTACTCATTTAAAACCTTATGGCAGTGTTCTCATATCCAGCGTCTTCAGAGAATCGTAGACTGTATGATGGTAGACGATAATTGAGATTGCCGGGACATCGCCTATGGAAAAGTCACTGAAACTATTTTGTTGTGGCCTGAGGGGAAGCAGATCCAACAACCACAGACAGCTGCTATCAAGACTAATGGGTGTCACTCTTACTGCAATTTCAGAACTGCGACATGAGTGCAATAATGGGACAAAGTTGACAAATTTATGCAAATCAGGGATAGTTATCTAATTAAAACCATAAAAATACATTTTGTTTCTTGAAATAAAATAAACCTATATTTTTATTATAAATATATTAATATATATTTATTTATTTGATATATAAAATATATGTAACATATATATATGTACACATTAGGGCTGTCAAACAATTAATCGCGATTAATCGCATCCAAAATAAAAGTTTGTGTTTACATATGTGGGTGCACTGTGTATAATTATTTTATATATATATATATATATATATATATATACATACACATGCTTGTATATATTTAAGAAATATGTCCATGTATATACTGTATACAGATTTATATATAATTTATATTATATATAAATATAAATATTTTATATACTATAAATACAGTTTTTTTTTCTTAAATATACATTTAAGAAATGTGTATTTATATATATATATATATATATATATATGTATATATATGTATGTATATGAAGAGTTCAGATGCAAAAGCCTCTAAATGCCATTTGAAATTTTCTTCTTTAATGATGATTTTTATCAAACTTGTATATTTAAGTTCAGTAATTTCACTTAAATAACAATTAATAGGTAATTATCATTGCAATTTAAGTGAAATCACTGAACTTAAATATACAAGCTTGATAAAAATGATTATTCTAGAAGAAAATTTCAAATGGCACATAGAGGCTTTTGCATCTGAACTCTTCATATACAAAATAATTATACACAGTGCGCCCACATATATTATGTAAACACAAACTTTTATTTTGGATCGTTTGACAGCTCTAATTTTATATATATATATATATATATATATATATATATATATATATATATATATATATATATTATATATATATATATACAGTATACATACATACACAGATATGTTTTATTTCAGCTTGCCAATGAATCATTAAACTCGATGTACTAAAATATCTAAAACTGAAATAAAAAATAAACAAAAACGACATAGTTAAAAATAATAATAAAAATGAAAAACACACACAACTAAAAATGAAAACACCTCATTACATTGCTCCTGCAAGCTGAAGTCTCCTTAACTTTGTCACATTACTGCAAGTACTCAAGTCATTGTACATATATGTACAGCATTTTTTTTTAACGTAATATGAATAGTTTTGATAGATAGGACAAAAAATTATCATGTGTAATGGGCAAAATAATCCAATACAACCCTAAAGTTGCTCCTCGTGCCCTTGTAGCTCTTATCTTTATGCACAATTTTAGAGACCTCCAACCCAATTCTGGCTCCTTGTCTGATACATACTGATACTGAATGAGGGATTAGACGTGATTCAACTAGAAAAATGTACTCCAATATTTCATTCCCATTTTCTAGGAGTTTCCTGAAAGATACATTCTCTTCAAAGATGATGTTCTCCTATCCATGCTTATACTGGGGCCTTACAGTGTACTGTAAGTGCAGGGTGGGCGAGCAAATAACAGAGAGGGACATGAAAGCTCTGATCTACAGGCTGGGGAAAGGCAGTCTGACCTCTATTTATTTACACTCATCCCAGGGAAAGGAGAGAGCAGCTGTCCGTTTCACTGCATCTGTACAGAAACAGGATCAGAGATAGAGCCAGCTGCACATGAACACACTAGATAAAAATCTTTACCATGAGGGAGAAATATGGTGACAATTTCTCAACAGCTGTGTACAGAACAGAGTTCCTCTGTGTTTCTACTTCCTAACAAAACATATAGCACTGCCAGAGTCAAATGCTTCCTCGCTCTTTCCATCTTCTATGGTGCTGCTTGTTTTCCCAAACCTGTCGTTACGCTCCCTCGCTGCTTGCCAAAGACTCACGCCTGGCCTGTCATTAAAAGTTCTCTTTTACTGCCTGGCAACTATTACGCAGAGATTAATTCTACCCTTCAATTCAACCTACTTCATGATCTCACCCAAGGTTATTTTGTGGTATTTTTAAGCTAGAAACTGATTCTTATATTTTTTGTTCATTAAGCTTTTTGACTTCCATAGTGATTTTAGTGTCAATTCAAATTGAAGGTTTTGCTATATGTGTTCAAAAGTAAAACAAGTGTTTGTTTGTTTTTTTACTTTGATTCAACAAGGATGCATTAAAGGAGTAGTTCACTTTTAAAAAAACTTTTGCTGATAATTTACTCACCCCCATGTCATCCAAGATGTCCATGTCTTTCTTTCTTCAGTCGGAAAGAAATTAAGGTTTTTGATGAAAATATTCCAGGATTTTTCTCCATATAATGCAGTTTACTGGTAACCAAATGGTTCAAAAGACAGTTTCAGTGCAAACTGCAAACTTTTCAAAGGGCTTTAAACGATTCCAGAGATGATGAATAAGGGTCTTATCAAGCGAAACGATCGCTCATTTAAAAAAAATAACAAAGTTTAAGTTTTATAAGCTCAAATGGACGCCTTGCTCTGTTCTGTGATGCACGTTCGTGACTCTCCTGTTCGAACTTGTTCATCAAAATGAACAAATCTTTTCCTGAGTCAATTTGTTCATTTCGTTCGTTGAATGAACCAAATAACAAGAAAAAAGATTCGTTCATTTTGATAAGCGAGTATGAACAGGAGAGTCACGAACACGCATCACAGAACAGAGCAAGACGAGCATTTGAGCTTATAAAACTTAAACTTTGTTATTTTTTTTATTAAATGAGTGATCGTTTCGCTTGAAACCTTAATTTCTTTTCGACTGAAGAAAGAATGACATGGACATCTTGGATGACATGGGGGTGAGTAAATTATCAGCAAAAGATTTTTTTAAAGTGAACTACTCCTTTAAATTGACATATCAAAACAAATGACAGTAATGACATTTATGTAACAAAGACTTGTTTTTTGAAATAAATGCTTTCTCTTTTGAACTTTCTATTTATCAAAGACTCCTGCAAAAATTTATCAGTGTTTACGTAAAATGATTTATCAACACAACTTTTCTCAACATTGATCCATTCTCCATATACCGACAGGCGGCAAGTGCATAAACATTGATAATAAATATTTCTTAATCATCAAATCAGCATATTTGAATGATCTCTGGAAGATCGTGTGAGACTGAAGACTGGCTTAAAGTTGTAAAAATTCAGGTATAAATTACATTTGTAAATATCTTAAATAAAAAACTGTTTTGAATTGTTATAATATTTTACAATAGCACTTTTTATTGTAATAAAAGTATTTTTTATAAAAAATAAAAAAATATTTTTTTTTACACAGGTAGAAATAATATTCACTATAAGTCCTCTAAGTAATTCAAGAGCATTTGTTTTAGAAACAGACTGAATTATATGTTTATCAGTGAACTATCAGCAAATAGTGACATTTCTCTGTCTGTTCCTCACACACAGCTATCATATGAATTCAAAAGACTACTTTTTTGCCATTTATTGAGCTAGATATGAACACTTTGAACTGTTGTTTTAAGAAAATGAGCTGAAGATCAAAATTACCCCTTTTGTGTTCTACTAAAAACCAAAAGCATAGAGGTCGTTTAGAACAATTTGAGTACAGGAAAAAAAAACTTGTTAATGTCTTGTCTTCCAATTCAGTCCATCTCTTACCATGAGTCAGAACTCAACTTGAAGGTCAACATTCATTAAAGGGATACTCCACTTTTTTTGGAAATAGGCTCATTTTACCACTCCCCCAGAGTTAAACAGTTGAGTTTTACCGTTTTCAAATCCATTCAGCCGAGTTTTTGATATTTAGAAGAATATCCGTAACCAAACAGTTTCTGGTCTCATTGACTTCCATAGTAGGAAAGAAAAAATATACTATCCAAGTCAATGAGACCAGAAACTGTCTGGTTAATGATATTCTTCTAAATATCAAAAAATCGTCTGAATACATTAGAAAAAAGGTAAAACCCAACAGTTTAACTCTGGAGGAGTGGTAAAATGAGCATATTTCCAAAAAAAGTGGAGTATCCCTTTAATGAATGTTGACCTTGAAATCAAGTTGAGTTCTGACTCATGGTAAGAGATGGACTTAATTGGAAGACAAGACATTAACAAGTTTTTTTTTTCCTGTACTCAAATTGTTCTAAGCGACCTCTACGCTTTTGGTTTTGGAAAGTGGAGTATCCCTTTAAGAAGAACATCACATCATACTCACTGTGAATCCACTGAGGTCCCTCTGGTGTCTTCATGTTCCCACTCTTCATCTGAGCTGCTAACAGTGGCATCTGAATCAAGAGACTCCATCACCCTGTGCAGAACAGTATGGCCACTGTGTACTAAATTTTCCACATCTTTGGATTTCAGAGGTTGGCCGTGTGCTTGAGGGTGCTGAAGGTTTCTTCCAAGAGCGTGATACTCCTCCTGCATCTCTACAGCATTAAAACTCTCAAAAATATGCTCTGATGTCATGGGGTACTTCGGGGAACAACGCTTTTCAAGACGTTTGCTCTTCAAACCCTCCAGTTGGTGGCTATAGTGTCTAGAAGCATGTTCGCCAAGCATCGCCAACACCCTCTGTTGTAAACGTCCAGCTCGATCCACCAATGAAACATGCTGGGAAACATGCCACAATGACTGAATCATCAACCCTTCCTCTATTTCCTCCACACTGTCAACCCATGTCTGATTTGAAGCATTGAAGAAATGTGGTACTTGCTCTGAGGAAAGTGATTTGGTGTCCACTTGACAGTCTCTTGTAGTCCCATGTCGCAGAGGGCTGGGGTTATGACTGGAATCTACGTCTTGTCCATTGTCTTCAAGACTGGGCGTGAAACACATTTGTGGAGCACCTGCTGTAGAACCCAGCGAGTTTCTGTTCAAAGAGAGGAGGGTGAATAGTGGTTCTGGGTGTGAATCCTGAAACACAGGCGACAGGAGCATCTGCGGGAGCTGAGGAGAACCTTTCGAAGACAGGAGGTCCAGATGGACCACTGAAGGGACGTTCTGCCAAATCTTCTGTCCAAAACTATTCTCCACATCCACACCTCGTGCAACACCGCTGTAGTCCATATTTCCACTCAAGGCAGAAGAAAAAAAGGATTTAATAGGTTTTGATCTGATGTTTCAATAGGATGAGTCATCCCATATTCCCAATCCTGATTGATATCGTCAGATTCTGGTCTTATATCATCGTCATCTGAAACTGATCGTATAGCCAACAGATCTGTCAAAAGACTAACGTTAGAGACACCGATTATTGTATGATATCAGATAGGTTCAAGTGATATGACTGTGTGAAACTTTATCAATAACCATCGTAATTTAAAAGTAGGTAGCTGAAAAACAAGCGATCAACTGCAACTATATTCGTTAACGGATAAGTTAGATTACAAATATTTTTCCGCTCACGCGATAATATTATGAAAATAACGGCGGGATGGAAAAATAACGTCATCTCACCTTTAACAGCTTCTCATTTCAAAAACAAAACTCGGAAAGACCAGAAATAGCGTATCATCCATGAATGAATCATGAATACAGTCCTGCAAGTGATATAAAATACTGATTTGTGAGTTTGATTAGCAGAAATCGACCGATCCGTCCGATGTTTCTTCACACCGCTGAACAGCCGCCACCGGAGGACCGAGAGAGAGAGAGAGAGAGAGAGAGAGAGAGAGAGAGAGAGAGAGAGAGAGAGAGAGAGAGAGAGAGAGAGCGTGCGTGTGTGTGTGTGTGTGTGTGTGTGTGTGCGTGTTTATTTACCCTGCTGGCTACTTTTATTGGAAGTAAAACTTATGTTTTATTGTTATATCATATTTAGTTTTCTTTTAATCTAGTTAACCTAAATTCGCAATGAGCAGCCTATCGTTTGTTTTTGAAAACTTTTTTAGTGACTACAGTCAATGAAAACATCAGACCAAACATGCCATGAGGTTTTGCATATATTTGTGGCAAAGTTTTGAACTGAACTGTCAGATTAGGAAATATCCATAGCCTATTACCTGACATATTCAGATGATTCCTGTGATTTCTGGAGAAAATAAATCCCAAACATTTATTCTTTCAGGTTGGATAAGGAAGGAGGGTGCAGCTCTCAAGGTTTGTTTTGCTTAGCCGACTTTTACACTCTGAACATAATTTGGTTGTAATGTGCATTCAGTCCACCAGGTGGGACTACAACTATTTGGATTTGGAGTTAAAAACCATAGGGTTGAAACAAAAAGTGCATCTTAACAATAATACCTCATCTTTGTGTTGAATAATATTATCATAATTTCTATGGCGTTCCACGTCACATGGAACATTAACTTAATATTAGTAGAAAAAAAAGACAAAATGTGTTTATGTAAGCTTATATCTTTTTACTCTTGTCTAGTTTCCATATAATTTCAATTCTCAATGTATTTTTATTTATTTATTTAAAACCAATGGTTATGTTAGAATGACAACATTGGGCTAAAGAAAAACTGAGAGCATGCAAATATCTGATGATAGGCTATTAAGCAAACAAAACCTACACATATGTATCCCTGAATAAAGCACAACATACATAACAGCAAGCAATTTATGAATTTCTACTGTACATTTGGGCTATGTAGAGTCTATATTTGTGAATAATGAGAAAGAAAATGATCCACTCTTGCAGCTCGTCAAAGGGGAGTTTTGGGGTATTTTAAGATTAGCAAAAATCGCTGAATCCCTTTTAAATACAGGATGGAAATGTGAGTTTGTGGTTTGCAAATGTCAACATAACATCATTTCAGGGTTCAAATCAACCATTCTGCAAAATATATGTCATTGACAATTACTGTACTTTATTCACATTTCAGAACATTTTCAGATTTTTGATTGCTGTCCCAACATTTCTTCCCCATTAAACGTGCCTATAAATGTATCTGCTGCCAGAAGTGACATAACATCAACTGTTTATAGTTTTTTTTTGTTTTTTGTTTTTTTTGTTTTTTTGCCAGTTGCAATAGACAACAGCTGCACTGCTTGATGCCAGCATATTGCCAAGACAAAGCAACATCTGAACCAAAACTCTGTCACTAAAATGCAGTACTGTTGTTTCGCTGGTGATGGTCAGATAAACGCTGGTTGAATTCAGTTTGTTGCAGAAACCTCAACTTCCAGATAGCATGGATTCAAACAGAAAGAAAAGTCTGTCTCAAACAATGCCAAATACCAAATATGTGCGCCACCATCCATATAAAAAAAGGCCGATGAGCAGGAACAATCCAGCCCTCATTGCAAAGAGTATACTGTAGCAGTTTCTGGGAAACAAAATATGCATGGAACTGAAAAAACAATGTCAGAGAGAAAAAATGTAAAAAATATTAAGAATAAGATTGCATCCAAGTGACACCAGTCAAACATTAAGGAGAGGATTTACTGGTCCTTTCTATGAAGAAAACATACAATAGAAATAGTTCACTACAGTAAAGTAAATGCAAAAAAAGTGAATGCTAACAAGGAACAAAACCATTTTTCCAACAAAACCAAAGAGGAAGAAGTTGCTTGTAAGCACAATGAAGGTGTGAAGAAGGGTGAAGATTAACTATGTTTAGAATGGGGGGAAATGACAAACATCTTTAAACTATGGAGCAGTAAAAGTTCAGTAGCCCAACTTCTGTACATTTCAATGCACAAAATAAAATACAACAGAAATGATTTCATTGTTTGAGACAGAAATTAGTTTTTATCTGAATCCATCTTTTATTATAGATCACCACAAGACTCTCCATCTTATTAAAATAAAGGTCACCACAAGAATACTGGGCTACAGCAGTTATATTGCAGTATTATTGTAGTACTATTCAGTCCAGTTATACCGCAGTTATATTGCCGCATTATTGTAGTACTACTTATAAAATACTGCAGTATTTCTGATATGTAGTACTACTTCAGTTGTATTGTAGTAACTGCATTTGTACACCAGATATACTGCAATATTGCAGGTTTTTTTGTGTCCAAAAAAATGCATTTTTCTACATTTCATAGTATTACTTCTAAAAAACTGCAGTAAGCTGATTTAGTATTTTTTACAGAATGTAAACGAGTGAAAATCTTAAAACATAAAAAAAAACGTATATGCAAATACTTCTTACATCATTAAAGGGAAAACAGTTATCTAAGACAACACAAATGACCACAATTCCTAAGGTAGGATTGGTCAGTTTTTAAAGTCAGGCTTATTGAAGGGTCAAATATCACTTTTGTTTGAACTATTCTTTAATATTAAAGACCAACAAGCACAAGAAATCAAACTTTATTTCTCCTTCATGTTACAATACAATTCTGACTACAACGCCAGATTAATTTGACCATCCACAGAGGAAGGGAAAATACTAATGAGTTAGGAAAGCAGTCTCTGATATTAAAGATTACAAATAAAGCACATCTCACAAAAACACACATTAGTTCAAATAAAATGGACACCTGGCACCAGGTGAAGTCCATCCTCTCATGCATCACTAAGCATCCATACAAACACATGGGAGGTCCTCAGATAATACTACAGTATCTTATCTGAAAACTTAAATAAAATAAATTAGAGTTGAAACAAGGCAGCACAGCATTTTTATGATTATTACTGTTGTTCAAACAAACGGTAATACCTTGTGGCAATATTTGCTACATTTCGCACAAATGCTGCATCCAGTAATATTGTTTCAAAATCCTACCAGCTTTTCCACAGGTTTAGTTCTCCAGCGTAAATCTCACAATGTTTCTATAAAACTAAACCACTACAAAGCATTAAAGAGATTGTTTACCCAAAAAGATGTAATAATGTCATCATAATCTCACCCTCATGTTGTTCCAAACCCATATGATTGTCTTTCTAATGTGAAAAAAAAATGTTTTGAAGATGTTCTCAAAGCTCTATTCCATACAATCTCAAGTGAAGGTGGACCAGGGGCTGTCAAGCTTCAAAAAAGCCCCATAAATCATGATAACTGTCAAGTCATGCACTATATTCAAAAGTCTTCTGAATCTACGGAGGCGTATTGCATTCACTTGAAGAAAAAAATCGACTCTGTTTTTCTGAATTAACGAGTTATTTTTTCATGAGAAAAAAAATTGCTCTGTTTTTTCTGAATTAATGAGTTAATTTTTCATGAGAATTTTTTTTGCTCTGTTTTTCTGAATTAACGAGTTGATTTTTCATGAGAAAAATTTTTTTTGCTCTGTTTTTCTGAATTAATGAGTTAATTTTTCATGAGAAAAAAAGTTTTTGCTCTGTTTTTCTGAATTACTGAGTTAATTTTTCATGAGAAATTTTTTTTTGCTGTTTTTCTGAATTAATGAGTTAATTTTTCGTGAGAAAAAAAAGTTTTTGCTCTGTTTTTCTGAATTAACGAGTTAATTCAGAAAAACAGAGCAAAAAAAAAAATCCATGAAAAATTAACTCGTTAATTCAGAAAAACAGAGCAAAAACTTTTTTCTCATGAAAAATTAACTCATTAATTCAGAAAAACAGAGCAAAATATTTTTTTTCTCATGAAAAATTAACTAATTAATGCAGAAAAACACAGCAAAAAAAAAAAAAAAATTCCATGAAAAATTAACTCATTAATTCTGAAAAACAGAGCAAAAACTTTTTTTCTCATGAAAAATTAACTCATTAATTCAGAAAAATAGAGTAGATATTTTTTTCTTCAAGTGAATGCAATACGCCTCTGTATGAATCTATATGCTTTGTGTGAGGAAAAAAAAGTCATCATTTTTTTTTTAGTCAAAAGCAGTTTGGACATTTTTACAAATAACCCCTTTAGTGTGTTTTGGGTGAGAAAATGGTGACAGAATTTTTCATTTTGGTGTGAACATACTCAAACATCCAATATACCCCATCACTCACCAAAACTTAACACAGTACGAACCAGTTGGATACATTATTCCAAATATAAATATGATACATTTATGGCTTTTTCCATTTGAGATAATATCTGTGTGACAAGTTCATAGTGCAAACTTTTATGATATAAAAGTTCTACTGTACTTAAGGCATCTTATGTGTTTTTCTTCATTTGTCTAGTTTAAATTCACTGAATCCACTTAAGAATAAACACTCTGAGGAGAGCTGAGAACATCAGCTCATCACCAGAAACTAAAACCTTATTGTGGCACTGTGTTTAAATGCTAAATTGACCTGACAGGGCTCTGTGGCTTTCTCTCAGTCTCACAGATAATGGTCTTTTCCTGCCAGCTCATTTTCACATTCAAAGGCCTTTAGTGGTCAGTATTCAGCTCCAGGATTTCCAACAGGTCCAACCACGGCAAAAGAGCTTATGCACCATTAAAAATTGCACGCCTTTTGGCTAAGGCCGTCAGAAGTAGTCCCTTCGCCGTGAATCATCGCTTATGAAGGAAGGGTTCCACGTCGCTGGGTAGATACAGGAATGCCTTGAACCGGGGAGGCCGGAGAACGGATACAGACCATTGCGCTCCAGGTCAGCATTCCTCAGTGCAGGCTAAAAGAGATAATATCAGTCGTAAATTAGTTAATCATGTGGAAAATCTACCAATTCAGGATGTGCATGGTTTTTTTTTTTTTTTTTATTTTACTTATTTTTAACCAAACATCATGAGACAGACTCAAACTCGCAGTGCCTGCATAAGTGCCATGTCTCAGCTCTGGTTTTACAATACAGTATAAATGATCAAGGAAATCTTTCAAACGTGCATATGAACACATACCGAGTAATAAATGTCTGTCATTTGCAGGAGATTTTTGGTGCTGCCGTTCTCCTGCATCTCAATAGTCTCTCGGCCCCACTCCATTGACACACGATTACTCTTAGGAAACTCTGCGTAGGGCGACATCTGAAGGTCTCCACTTTTGAAGATGATTTTGTTGATGTCGTTTTTGTCTTTTCTGAGGATGCAGTGTAAAAACACTTTTTTAGACATTATTGTAATTTAAAATATATAAATAAAGCTATTGGTGTGTTAAGTATGGAGGAAGTTGCCATCTTTTTATTATGATCTTACTTGCAGCAGGTGACTATAAGAGCAATGACGACAATCAATAGAAGAGCGCCTCCAGCAGGAGAGACCACCACGGCTATCAGCTTATAGACTATTAAACACAAGATTATTTTACCGACATAAAATGCTTATATTTATTGGCAATGAAACACACAAGTCAACAAGCTTTATATAATCACACTGCACTTAAAGGGTTAGTTCACCCAAAAATGATCTTATAATTTACTCACCCTCAAGCCATCCTATTTGTATATGACTTTCTTCTTTTAGTTAGAATAATATTCAAAAATATCCTTGCTCTTCTAAGCTTTATAATGGGAATGAATGGTACCATTTTATTTTTTGAAGCCCAAAAAAGTGCATTCATCCATCATAAAAAAAATCCATATGGCTTCAGGGGGTTAATAAAGGCATTCTGAAGCGAAGCGATGCGTTTTTGAAAGAAAATATCCATATTATATGGGTGCACAAGTCCATCATCAGTGTTGTGTGTAACGTAGACACAAGGCAGGTTTTTATAACTTTATAAACTATAATAACTGGCTTTTAGTAACAACCTTAGGCGAGTCGAGTTCCAGCAGAAGAGTGACCTCTGACCTGACCTGAACGCGGAAAAGCAAGAGGATAGAAAAAAAACCCGAAATACCAGCCACGAATTAGAAGTCTAAAACAAGAGTTTTTAAAGATACACTGTGTGATTTTTACCCCCATCTAGAGGCGAAAAGGTATATGACCACCATCCAGTGAATATTAGTTTCTGTTCCTCTCAATTCCGACTTCGTTTTAACTCCTACGGTGGCCAATGTAGTCCAAGATTAACATGGCTTCCAGTTCGACCTCGTCCATGAGTGTTAACTCAAACGTTAATACACTCACGAGAATACTTTATTTCTTGAACGAAGTAAATATACATTAATGAGCACATATATTTTTGAAAGAAATAAGTGTTTTTAGCTAAGAATAAACTAAAAGAGTTACAGAGTGTAGCTTTAAAGAGATGTTTTTTGGGCTTCAAAAAAATTGTACCATTCACTCCCATTATAAAGCTTGGAAGAGCCAGGTTTTTTATATATATATATAAAAAACTCAGATTATGTTTTGCTGAAAAAAGGAAGTCAAATACACCAAGGATGGCTGGAGGGGGAGTAAATTATGAAATTACGGGATAATTTTCACTAACCCTTTAAGTTATTTTTACATCTTTTACTCTTAAAACATTTATAAATACAATATATATATATATATATATATATACATAAATTAAATAAAATCTTACAATTATTGCAGTTGAAACCTCCAAATCCAAACATGCACCTGAAGAAGTTAAAAATAAGTTTATTTTTTGCAACAATATACAAACTGTATGTACAAAACAAATACGAACAAAGAAAAGTTACCAGTGAAAAGTTTGGACTCTATTGGCTGAATTTGTTAGCTTTTGATCTAAAGGCTTACGCTTAAATGCCTTAAATTGGAAATGGATGAGTTGGACCGGATAGTGAAGGAAAAGCAGCCAACAGGTAACAAGCATGCCAAGAATAAATGGGAACTCCTTCAAAGCTATTTAAAAAGCTTCTCAGGTGGCACCTCATGACGTTTAGAGAATGTCCAGAGCTGTGATCTAACCAAAGAGAAGCTATAATGAAGAAACATTATTCCTATACTTCTATAATATAGAACAAATAAGTATGTCCAAACTTTTGACTGATTTTTAACTTTACAGTGACATTAATAAACCACATACTTACTCTACACAGTTGCCATTAACAAGCTTGAGTCCATCTCCACAATCTAAAAAAAAAACATGTCAATTTTTAAACATATGTAAAATGAGAAACTTGACATTCATTTGTACAGTTGAACTACACAAAATCCCACAGTTTAATTATTCAAAGAACTGAAAAGGGACAAAAGTATGTTGTACCTCTGCAGGTCATGTCCCCTGGGTTCTTTTTAAAGTACCCTGGGTGGCACTGACAGTATGGGACCCCGCTAGTGTCTGTGCACACGGAGTACTGCAAATCACACGTCTTCTGAGCCGAGCACAGGCTCCCCACTAAACAGAAACAAGTGCTTCAGAACAAAGAGCTTTCCAAAATGAAACAGCCCCCTCACGACCGTGTTATCCGTGTGTATTGCATGATTGGTATTATCATATCTCTGTAGTGGTGGAGTAGAGTGGAGGATAAGAATAGAGGGAATGGATTTGAGATAAGAGCATGATGCTGAATGGTACCGTGATATGAGAGCTGGTGCTGAAGCTTAATGGTACAGAGTGAGTACGTCCGGCTGCAGTTGCTCAGGGACATCTGGATGCTGTTGTTGACATCCGAGCTGGTCACATTGGAGGAGAGTGAAAACATGCTCACCACTGAGATCTGCACACCTTCTCCATCTCTGCACAGGGCAAATGTGTTCAAATACAAGAAAAATCACACCCTGAATTCAAGTCGGAAATGAAATTATGAATTTATATATGAAACATTGCAACTGATAGGACCAAAATCTCTATTCATAACAGTTTTACACACACTTTAATCATGTTTAGCTGGTTAAAGGGTAAATTAAATGCTTGATTGAACACATATGGTTTATTAATAATGATAATTATTATTTATTTCTGCATTAAATTGAACAAACGTGACAGTAAGGACATTTGTGATGTTACAAAATGTTTTATTTTAAAGCATATTATAATCGAAACCAGTTATATTATAATTACTATTTAATGTTTTTTGTTCAAATAAATGAACCACTGGGTGAGCATAAGACCTTTCAAATACATTTGAACTGTAATGTATTTAATAATGAAGTAATGCCATTTTTTGGATAATCCATTGAATTGAATACAAATAATATTTTATTAAATATTTAAACCATTAAAAATGTCTCAAATTAATTTAGTCCACTGAATGTTGTTCAGCAACTGTACACAACTAAACTCTGCTTTGTGTTACACCCCTGTTTGGGACACATCCAACACTGATGGCAGCACAAATATATCTACTGCTGTATAAATGGTACAGTAAATAGGGGGGGTGATGTGTATATATATATATATATACACATTATATATATATATATATATATATATATATAATTTATTTATTTATATATATATAAATGTTTTATCATTCCTGTGACTGTTTTTCTGTTGACTTATCTGTTCATTTTGTACCCATTATAAAGAGACCGCGGGGTGGGTGGGAGGGATTGGTAGATAGGTTGTTGTTTGTTGTTGTGTTTCTTTTTTGGCATATTTATTGTCAAATTTAAAATCTAATAAAAAAAACAAAACATATTGACACTGGATTGAAACATCAGTAGTTGTTGAGTACAGTATGACCAATTAAATGATTTGTGTGCCCTGTATGGCCTAATTTTGGCCTAACGAACTCACATGTTTTCTAAAGTGGAGCGTCTGTAACCATGGAAGGTGGAGAGAGAGGCATTGAGCTGAAAAAAAAAAAAAAAACAATACAAAAATGAATCAAATAAACCTCGACTCCATGTTCAATACATCAATGTATAATGTTCAACCAATTTCCTCTCTATTTCCATAATGGCTGCTATATAACATTAGCTGCATTGATTTGGCTGTGTGGTTGTAAGGGGGAGAGGTCAGGTGTGAAATGCAGCATATTGCTGCGTACCAGTTGTAGGATCTCTCTGTGGAGCTCATGAAGACCTGAACTTCCCAGTTGCATGGAGTTGTTGACGGTGAAGTTGCCCAAAAATGTCTTCACTGCAGGGTAAACCCAAAGCAAATAACGTGAGGGTTCAGTTATCACTGACATACCTTTATATATATATATATATATATTAGGGGTTTCATCAACTAGTCGACTAGTCGACTGTCACAACCACTAGTTGGCGCTGTTGGCCTTAGTCGACTAGTCGGAAACAAAATGATGAGATATATATAGTTATATATTTTTTGTTAACTATCCCTTTAAATACAAGCGGCAGTACTATATACTATAAGCACTATAAGGCGCACCTTCAATGACCTATTTTAGAACATTTTTCAAACGTTTGACTGGGTTTGCGTTATGCATCCACTAGATGTGCTAAAGGGAATGCAGCGAGTGCGAGGCGTCGGAGGTGAGGCGTTTATTTAGTAAGCGTGAGCGCGCTGGGGCGGGCACGTAACTTACATTCGCAGCCTGCTGACAGCAGTGTCTGTTCGTGTGTGTGTTAGAGAGAGCGCTTGTGAGCGGGAGATATTTTATACGAGGTTGAACTGGCCGTGTGACAAAGCGGGCAGAAGATGGACACGAGCGCGAGCAATTGATGATCCATATATAATGCGCTCCGGATTATAAAGCTTGAGAAAAGGCCGGATTGAGAAAATTAAAGGCTTTTAAGTGCGCTTTATAGTGCGGAAAATATGAGTACTACTCTCGCTTTTAGACCAGCACGCGACGTGTTTAATATAGACGCATATTAGCCTACACCAGATTTTCTCTCAAATGTTTGCTTTCACTTTTTGTTTATGTAAACATTGTGTGTATTTAACAGTATTAGCATAATAAGACTTGAAAGATAACTTAGTCCAGTATTCAGGCGCTGTTTGACAGGCTTCTAATGCCTGTGAGCGTCGGGGATATGCCGCGCGCTCAGGAAAGCGCACGTTAGAACAGCGCGTGAATTAAATGTTTAACCGGCAAGGCTTATGCAAACAATGAACTTTTGTGAATTGCAGTGTCCCGTACCTATTCCTTAACGTGTGATGTGTAGGCTACGTCACGTTTTACAGTTGAGACAGAGGCGCCAGAACTGATAGAATGCACTGTAACACGATACTACTACCATATTTATTCAAAAGCAGATCGTGGAGACATTTACTATTCGTGATATCGCACCCCTAGAATAAACCATTTAACGACTAGTCGACTAGTCGTCGACTGTTATGCAAAACTAGTCGACTAGCAAAAATCAGTAGTTGTGAAACCCCTAATATATATATATATAGTTTCTGGATATTTGTGTGGACGACTGACCACCTACCTTGCGTACAACTGCGGCCATCCTCCAGGTCAAAGCCCAGGGCACATTTACAACTGAAAGAGCCACTTTTGTTGACACACACTGAACCCTGGGGGCACGGACTATTCACACACTCATCCACATCTACAGAAAAACACAACGCCTAATCGATCCATGTTCATTTTTGTCACCAACTCTAATGGAAACATTCATATCACAATAATATTGACCACATAGAAAACAAAAATAATGTAATTTATAATGTAACATTGTATTAAATTCCATGTTAATATATATTTATCAGAAAACCAAATCTATCCTAAACCTAGGGACTAGCATGAATAACACTTTTAATTTGATATTACAGCATTAGAGATCCCAAAGTCAATTCCAGTTTCTGTTTGTCACTGCCCTCTTAAGTTACAGCATTTAGACTTGTAGCTTTACAACAATGACCCAATTTAGTTGTTAGTGTCCATTAAAGTGGGCTTCTTACCTTTAGTGCAGAAGGGTCCGGTCCACGCAGGGAGACATTGACAGTGGTAACTTCCCTCGGCTGATCGAACACAGTGGCCTCCATTTGCACAGGTGTTAGGCTCACACACATGACCTACAGAGGAGAAAGAGATGGTTAGAAATGAAGTAATTCAAATGAACAGGTGAAGTCACAACATTGTTTATTATCACTTAATATACAATTACTAGTCAAAATAGCCAACCCAAGTCTCTATTTCAATGTAAGTCTATGGGACTTTGTCAATTTTATTGCCTGCTAAGTGAAGATTTTAAGGTAATCCACACAAAAGTGACAATTCTGTCATCGTTTACTCAACCTGTGGAACATGAAAGAAGATCGTTTGAGAAATGGTTCAGTGTTTTTTGTCCACACAATGCAAGTCTTTGGACTCTAATTTTCTTTTTAAATACAGGATTGGTATGACATGAGGATGAGCACTATACCTTTAATTATACCTATATATATATATATATATATATATAGATACACTTATACCTATGAGCACTATACATTTTTTGCGAAAAAGTTTATCGCACAGCTATCCTTCATAAGCAATAAGCAACATGATTACACAAATGAACACGTTACACAAACAATATGTGATAAATTACGCATATTTGGATATACGTATAGCAGCCAATATTGTTGATGTAGATGCAATTGTGCATGCTCATTTCTCCTATTTTTCAATAATTCATCTGACGCTGATTTCAGTTAATCTTTAAAAACACTAATAATTTATTAAAACGGTTCACTAATCAAACATCCATTTTTCACACAGTACGATGTAATGCTGTGATACCTAAATTCAATTAAAGTATTTAGTGTTTATTTTTAATTTATTTAGACAAATGCACACAACTGTTCAAAGTTTGGGGCCAGTAAGATTTTTTTTTAAATATTTTTAAAATAAATCTTTTATGTTCGCCAAGGCTGAAAAAGCAGTAAAAAAACAGTAACAAGACGTTAATATTATTTCAATTTAAAATAACTTTTCTATTAGCCATAACTCCAGTCTCCAGTTTTAAATGATCAGAATATTCGGTTTTGGTGCTCAAGACACATTTCTTATTATTATCAATGTAGAAAATTGTCTGTTTCTTACGCATTTTTGTGAAAATCAAGAAACATTTTTTCATGATTCTGTAGCACTCAAACCGTATTCACTTTATAGCCCTTAATCCTGTAATTGTGGACAAATGTAGGCACAGAGTGTGATCCTAATTTTTATTTATTATAAATGTTATATCACTGTCTTCGTTAAAGTTTCGTCTATCCATTTATGGCGTTTTTTTTTATTTTGGGGGTATTTTTGAATTTATTTACTTCAAAAAGTACCATATTTTCTATGTAAATTATTTCTATGTTACTATGTAGTTTTATATTTTTACATTTTTAACTACATTAAAATATCATTCCAATAAGTTCTTAGAGCTAAAACTTATAGATGAAGTGACTCTGCTGTCGCCTGGTGTCTTATTTTGGCTAATTTTAGAATGCTCTAAATTACAGTTTTTCCCCTTTATTTCTATGGGTGCCCATTTTTGACCCAAATACAAGATTAAGGAGGTTTTTTTCCCACCAACTTAACATTGTAGAATTGAGTCAAAAAAAAAATGTGTGTGTTCAGGAGGCAAACTTAGGAAAAGTGGCCAAGTCTTGGACCGCTCAGATCAAGGGAAGTATTTTTTTTTTTTAAATCAATACTATTTTGCCCACATTTGTCCAGAATACGGTTTTAGGGTTAATGAATAGAAAGTTTAAAACAACATTTATTTGAGATATCAATTTAATGCATGCTTAATGAAATTAAAGTATTATTTATTTATATCACCAAACCCTTGAAAGGTACCATATATAAATTTTATATCGAACATTTATCGGTAATGGGACAGAATTATAATATCTGTGCATCGGTGCAATCAGCTCCATTGATATTACCAACAAAAATGGTGATTTGAACGTTCCACCTCACTGCAAATACCAAAATTCAAACATACCTGTTGACGCTGTTGGCATCTGCATGGTTGTGGTTCCCATCTCTGTGGTGCTCCTGTCCGTTTGATTCCTGGTGGTTGCCACCACAGTGGTCCTGGTCGGGGTGCTTTTGCTGTAAGGGGTAGTTGCACGTCCACCATGAGCAGTGGTGTTCCCTGGTGTGGCCGTGCTAGTTTCTATATGCAAGGTGGTGACGTCATCAGAATCAGACGTGCTGGGTGTGCGTGGTACACTAACAGTGGAGGTGGGCGGGAGCCAGGTTGTGGAGGGTGTCGTCCGCAGCACCTGAACGATTTCAGTGGTAACAATGGTAGTGTGTTCTGATTGCGCTTGCTGTGTGGTGCTTGGTTGAAGCGGACGAGTGGTGACGGGAGGAGGCATGGTAGTGAATGTGTTGGTAGAACTGTAGACGGTAGATGTGGCTTCCTCTGTAACCTGTGTCCTCTGAGTTGTTGGTGTGGCAGATGTTGACACCTCTTCCGTGTTTGTCTGATCATCGGTTTTGGAGATGAAGGGCGGTTGGCTAGAAAGGAAATCAACTGTGGTGGCTACGTCTTCAAGCACTGGGGGTGCAGTAGTCAGGTCCCGAATGGTTGTCTCCTCCACTGTATGGGTCGGAGACCCGTCGGGTTCCCCACGGCCAGTGGAGCTGACAGATCTGGTTGAAAACTCAGTGGAAGCACCAGTGTCCACTGAATAAGATACTGTGGAATCGCGGCTCTGTTGGGATGTGCTAGTGGCATTGGTGTGTTCGCCGGAGGTAAAGGGTGGGATAGATGAAACAGAGTCACCGGTTTCCGTATGAGACGTCCCACTGCTTACCGATGTGACATCCGTTTCCTCTGCATCTCGATTGATCACCGTGAGTGGGGTTGTTGAATTTGGATTGTCATTATCAGACACTTGCTCAAAGGTCTGTCCTGTGACACTAGGTTGTCCCGTCTGTGACTCAGTGCCTTGGGACAACGTTGGCCGTTCGGTCTCCAAAGAGTGGCTTTGAGTTGCTTTGGTGGTATTATGATCTTCAAAAGTGGGCTCAGTCTTATCAGACACTGTAGATACATCCACTGTTTCCTCCTTGTCTTGGGTGACTCCTGATGTCCTCTGCTCCAAGCTCCCAGCAACAGAGGAGTTGAAGTCTTCCGTGTAAGCAGGGGTGCTGTTGGAGATCACCGAAAGCAGAGTGCGTTCTCCGACTCGGTTGGTGGTGGAAGTGAAAGTGATATCAGTGTGAGAGAAAGAGTCGGTGGTGTCCGCATCTCGCACTGTTCGGGTCTCTGTCACGGGCTGGTGGTTGGTGACGCTGTGCGATGCTATTGACGAACCCTCCCATTGGGCTGTGGAGTTATGGGTAAGCTCTTTGTCAGACCGCAGATGTTGAGTGGACTCATCTGCCTGGGCTGCTGTGTTTGTAGAGATAAGTAAAGGTTTTTCTGAATGTCCTAGTTTGGGAAAAATAAAGAACAATAATTAAGTATTTAAACCTATCAAAACATTGAATAATAATGAAATTCAAGAAGGATGGCCACTAGGGTGCGCTTCATGTGGTGTGAGCCTTGGCAAACTTCATGAACTATGCGAGATGTTTTCAGAAGTGACTGCGGATGTAATGATTTTGGGTGGAGGACAATTGGCAGCCAAGCTCGTCTAACCTAACAAAAGACTGAGCCCTAAAAATGGAGGGGATCTGACCCATTGGGACCTACTGTTTCCTTCCTTCAGCTGACCTAGCAAAGTCCATATTACAGCGTTGTCACTGCCTGCATGGAGTTCATACACAGGCAAAACTATAATCAAGTGAACCGCTGACTGGAGGAGGATGCTTTTCCATGCATGGGTGACCTTTTTAACCTAGCAGTACCTTTATGGTCAACAAATCAGACCTAGATACTCTTAAATATGTAAATCAGCTGAATAAAGTACAGTAAGACAGCTTTGTTTTCTAATAGGAAAAGGAATCATGGCTTTGATGTAGTACGTGGCTACAAAATACAATCATTATACTTCTGGTACGTAGAAATCCATTTGAATCTATCGTGAAACGAATGCTTCCACAATATTTAGATCTGCTGAAGAACGAGATGGATTCAAAGATAATTGTAGTGTGGAAAGCCATGATTTTGGGTCATTTCACATTTTAAAAATTGACTCGCTTGCTGAAAATGCCTTGCATTACAGAGATCTTTTCAACATAAGATCTTTCAACATTATGTTCAGGGACATCCAGTCAGCTCTAACTGATGGGGATGGAGACTTGGCAAAGAACAAGCTGTTTTACAGAAAGTAGATAAACATGATCTGCTTTCCCAAAAGCATCGTAAGCCTTGATCATAGAACAATTGCCACCAATGGTCTATAGTACCATCAACTTAGCCTCACGGACCCGGTGCTTTTGGAAACGCAGCCCTAAACAATATTGAATGAGATCAAAAAAGCAGTGAATTGGAGGTTGTTGTTATTTTTGGTCAAACCCAGTGCAGACTGAGGCAAACATACTCTCAACTTAGTATTTTATACTTCCCTTTATAATTTAAAGATGTTTTAAAAGACGTTATTTTTTTCCAGAACATGTCCTAATTACACATGTGAAAAATGCTAGGATAATGTGCCACATAACTGATATATCAGCTGGATCTAATGGCACATGAATAATTATTAACTGAAATAATGGTAGTAAATCCTCTGATGTCTTCAATAAGACCTGAGGCAATAAAGCTCATCGGAAAGTACTGTTAAATCCATATGGGGGTTTTAAAGGGCAATTCTGAACATTTAGAATTGTGTGGACCACTGTTGCGGCCGACGGCCAATGTAATGCAAATCCATTATGATAGCAATTTTTTTTTAAATACCAATCTTAATATATTTACTCAACATTCAATAAAAACGTATGTGGAGTGGATTGTATCATAGTCGATTCAATGCATTTATTTAAATTCACTTAATTGGACATTTGATGCCAAAATTACATGGAACAGAAGTATTTTAAATTAAATCACCCAAAAAAAAAACAACAACTCCAGACTGAATAGAATTCTTTGGCTCAAGAAAGTGGAACAGTTTATGAACCAGGATGTTCATGAGCCAAGGAGGTCATTCATTAAAAGAGATTCTCTTCCAAAAACCGAGGAAACAGAGTGCAAGTAATCTTATTTATTTGACTTCATACCTGATGCTTTAGCTGCATAATAAAAACCGTTATTTTACTACTGGGCTATTGCAAATTCAATAATATTATTATTAATAATAATAATGCATTGAGACATAAATCATTTAATGTTTAAATATAATATATTTTAATGGTTTTATGTGCCAAGTCAGTCTTTATCACATAAGCAACGTCTGAGAGGAGGTGGAATCTTTGTAATCTTTCTTATCACTGCAAAAGTTGTTTCAACACAATACTGCTTTACACCTGAAAATAAACTTAGTCATATCTACTTTACACTGTTAGAGCAGAGGCTGTTGCAGAACCTAGTGAGGTGCCTAGCCAAGACAACACTTTTTGGGCATCCACAGGCGCGTGGAAGTCTCACCCGCTCGCGTCCCTGTGATGGACACACTGGCGGGAATATCCGTCATCTCCTCCGGTCCACTCGGTAGATCCACAGCGGTAGCAGTGGCCTCTCTTCCCGACCAGGGGGACGTTTGTTTTAAACCAGTTGTTCGGGTAAAATAAGTTTCGGTACTCAACGGGTTATCGGTGTCCGTGTCTGTAGAGAAAGTTTCGGCAATCACAGTATTTAGGACAAGTATAAAGACCGTGAAAACCACACGGAGAGCGCTTCTCGCCACACACGTTTCCATCATAAAGAATTCCTACTAAATAAAACGCAAAAGTGGTCCGGGTCACCATCGGAAAGTGAGTCCTTTTAACAGTTTCCCGTTAGTAAATTCCTTATGATAGTTTTAAAGTTGGAGATGAAGGTTTAGAAGGGTTTTATTTCAGGCAGCGAGAGTGGGAAACCGGAGCAGAGGGTGACTCCTCCCCTCGGGCAGGCGAGAGAGGTTTCCTCCCCATTCCTGGATGAACGCACTCTCGTGTGCTCGATTCGGTTTAGATATTCAGGTGGGGTTCTTCTTTTTACCCATCAAGTCCAAATCAAAACCCATTTAGCATTAACAATATACAAATTAATATACTCCCCAGTGCCTTTACACATTGAACATTTTCTGGCGACATGGGTGATTTCTTTTTTTTTTTTTACTAAAATTAGCATTTTATTTATCAAATGGTTTCTTTTTTAGTTGGAAATTGGAGTGCACATTCCAGTTTGGGTGGACATGGTGCTTCGATCGGCTACTCTCTTATGAACTCAATGAAGTTGAGTGCCCATGGTGCATATTAAAACTTCAACTTTGATTGCACATTCACAGTTTTCAAACAAACATTATTAGCTTCCTTCAGATTTTCCTATCTGACCCAAGTACTATCTGACAAATGCAGTAAATAAAAATATGTATTTCAATGCTCAGTTCAGTGATCAGTCAAGATTATATAGTCCCATGTGTCCACTGTTTCAGTCCAGCTGGTTAGCAGAGCACAGTTGTTACATGCTCAGTTGGACTGAGGATGGACCATCTTGTCTGTGGTGGTGATAAAGGAGGAGTGATGGTAACGATCACGGAGGGCAAAGTCTGCATTTTCCTCTGTCAGCTGCCGGGTCTCCATGCCAACAGCTGACAAAGAGGGTGTCATCACAATCTGGTCCTGAACGGCCCCATCTCGCCTAAGAAGAGAAGACAATGATTGGTGAAGTGAGGTTCAGTCTTGAGTATAATATAGTTCTTCTGATCGCATCATCCACACCACACCGACTACTTGCCACATACCCACGTAAAATTAATTTGTTTAGAAGAGCTTCATTCAGTGTGATTAAGGAACTAGCTAAGCTTAAGAATAGCATCATTAATCAGAAGACATTTAAAGATTTTCCGAAAAGCAAGAACACAATAGCTCTGTATTTATCTTGTTCTAACACCTACTCTTCTTATTGTCAGCCTCAGATGTCACAACGGGGCGGCAAAAAAAGTTTATTCACTGACCATATGATGCATATCACAAACAAACAACCCAAAAGTAATGAGTGGCTGGCTCTTCACAACTTCTGGAAGTAAGTGGGAACACAGGGCTTTTTTTACAATTCCATATGAAATTGTGCACATGAGCACCTTTAAGGAAGAATTAATCACTGGATTTGCAAAAGTTTTCAAGGACAGTGGCATTAAAATAGTAACATATTTCAAATATTTTATTCATGGCACCTAGTATCAAGTTAACAAGATATGCATATAAGCAAAACGGTATACTCAGTACTTACTTTTTTTGGATGGACAGAAATTCTGACCTTAATGTCTATACACATTTTCTATTTCCTAGTGTTCTGTGTTTTGTATAAAACTATTAGTGGAAATGCCACGCCATTATTTTGGTATTTTCTGTTTCCGGTAAACCTGCCCTTCGATCAGACTGTCTTTTCCTGTCTAAGTAGGTGGTTCTTGGTCACCCAAAGCTGAAATCAAGTCTTTCCAAGTTCCTACACAAGAGTATATAACGTCATACCTCCCCAAATTATGTAGCGAGGTCTTGAGCCACCTGAAGAAACTGAAGCGAGCTGCTGCACCTGTAGGCATAGAATGTAAACTATATTTTCTGACAAGAAAAATAATTTAAAGTCACCATAAAATCAAAATATTGCAGTGTTTAATGCAATTGATACATCTATGCACATCATTTTTGCCAAAACATTTCTCTTCTCTCACATGAGATCGCAGCAATAGCAAATGACAACAATACAATGAATTCCTAATGGACAAAAATGCACATATTTGAAATAAGCTGTGTGTAGCAACCAAAGTGTTTAAACAACTTGCAGTTTATTATCAGCAAGTAGGATTACTTCTGAAATTTTCCAAAGATGACTTAATACAAATAAAAATTTGGAACAATTACCTGTTGGCAACCCTGGGCTTGTTGTTCCAATGTAGAGAAAGAGGACAAGGGCGACTGTAATGTTGATCAATGCGTACATCCACTGGATGACAAACATTATTAAAAAAGAGCACAATGCCTAAAGAAAGATAAAAAATATCATAAATAATATAAAAACAACTGACTATTTCTATATTTAAAGAATTGCTTTCAGGAAGCACTGGATATTTTTTTTGACAAACTTACACCAATTAATGCAACCCAGTGATTGCAAAATCTGGCATAGACTGAACCTTGGATCGATCTGATTTCTGATCCTTCAAGAATTGTTTCTGAACCTGTGAATAAAAGGTACTTAAAGGAGTAGTTCACTTTTAGAAACACTTTTGCTGATAATTTACTCACCCCCATGTTATCCAAGATATCCATGTCATTCAAATTAATGAAATGAAGGAGCTGACTCGGGAAAAGATTCCTTAATTTTGATGAACGAGTTTGAATAGGAGAGTCACGAACGCGCGTCACTGAACAGAGCAAGGCGACCATTTGAGCTTATAAAACTTAAACTTTGTTATTTATTTATTAAATGAGCAATCGTTTCGCTTGATGACACCATTATTCATCATCTGGAATCATTTAAAGCCCTTTGAACAGTTCGCAGTGAAACTGTCTTTTGGACCTTGAACCGTTTGGTTCCCATTGAAGTCCATTATATGGAGAAAATCCTGGAATGTTTTCATCCAAAACCTTAATTTCTTTTCGACTGAAGAAAGAATGACATGGACATCTTGGATGACATGGGGGCGAGTAAATTATCAGCAAAAGTTTTTTTTTAAAAGTGAACTACTCCTTTAAGGAGAAATACAGATTTTGATCACTATATTGAGGTTTTGTAGAGAGTTACTTACCATTCCTCTCTATCTGCTCTCTTGGGAGCTGTTCAAGTTCAACTGGGCCAGAATTAGGCAAAGACTGTTTCCTCTTGGCTCCTGCGGTAAGGTCAGACTCCATAAGTCCTATCTGGCTACTGGCATCATCATCTAATCCAACAGCTTGTTCCAGCTCCCTCTCATCTTTTCCTTTATCTAATGGTCCATTGCTGTTTAAGTCCAACCCAAAACTGTTCATCAGCGTTTCTTTAGCTGGAATCTTTGACTTCCTGCCCCGGGCCTTGGAGGTAGGAATAGACGCTCTCTGTTCTTCAGCGGTGTCTGCGCTGGGCAATGGAAATATTTGGTCCATGTCTTTGGTGAACTCCAGCAGTGTGCCGTTCATTGGGTCACTGATGGCTCCACTGCTGCCATAATGGGGGTGAGTGCTGGACACAAGTGATCTTCTGGAGCTCGACCTCCTGATCAGCGTCTTCCTTTGCAGGACCTGCAGCTCATAGGTTTTCACCACACAGAAATAGCAATAATCAATTATGCTGTAGGTTAGCATGAAGTTGATGGTGACAATGGGAGCCAGTACATTGACCTGGCCAATGAAGATAAAGGCCATGGACATCAAGCTGGTCAGACAGATGGCAGCCACAGGTGTCTTATTGGGCCCTCGCTGTAATACATAAAGAAATGGGAGAAAGGTAAATCTATGGCTGTTCCAAAACCTAGTGAGCTACGTGAAATGTCTACAGCATAAAAAGGCTCAATTGATTCCAATAGATTTTGGTCTTAAAGGGTCCCAAGCCCCAGCAACCTCTGTCTGTGGTATGGCTCAGAGGAGTGCTGCCAGCTTTGTAATGCCCCAAATCCTAATCTGCAGCACATTCTATCAAGCTGCAAAACAGCACTAACCCAGGGTCGGTATAGGTGGCGCCACGACCGTGTCCTGCGGAAGCTGGCAGAGATCCTGGAGGTGCGCAGGGCGGAATCAGCCAGGGAACGCCGACCACTAAAATTAAGACGGCCGATCCACTTTGTCAGAGAGGGAGGAGGGGCCACCAAAATCACGCAGCCACAGAGATCAGCCCTGGCAGGCAGTTGCGATTGGAACCTGAGAGCGGACCTCGATCGGCAGCTCAGGTTCCCAACAGAGATCACCACAACCAACCTCCGACCAGACATCATTCTCTGGTCCGCCACAACCCGGGCAGTAATTTTGGCAGAGCTTACTGTCCGTGGGAGGGAGGAATGGAGGCAGCCCATGAGAGGAAGAAAGATCGCTACCTCGACCTTACAGCCGAATGCAGAGAGGCTGGGTGGTCAGCTGTCAGCTACCCGGTGGAAGTCGGCTGTAGGGGGTTCGTGGGAACATCCACCCAGCGTTTCCTGAAGAGCATGGGAGTCACCGGCCCCAAACTCAGAAATGCTATGAAAGTCCTTGCCGAGGAGGCCGAGCAGGGAAGCTTTTGGCTTTGGTTAAGAAGGAAGGATCAGGCGTGGGGAAAACAAGGGTCCTAGGGTTAGCTGCAGGGGGCAGCAGGGAGACGTCCCTGCTGCCGCTCCACCACCGTGAGATGTTCCGGGATTAATGGAGCGAAACATCAATGAAGGGTGGCTCCCGGCTGATGACCCTGCAGCTACCCGAAATGGCACCGTCGGAGGTGCGGCAAGCAGAAATGCTCAGCAGGCAGTCAGTTGCCTGTGCTACCACCTAGAATGTCTGGAACACCAGTGACTACTGAGAACAGAGCAGTTTGCGTCCAGGAAAGACTGGAGGACAGCCGGGAAAGACCGTCTGACGGCAGGAAAGACTGCACCAGGGGTGGACGGGCTAGTTACCCTCTCCACAGGTCCTCATACTGAGGACACCCTAACCAACTACGAGCACAAATAAAGAAAGACAGCCCGAAGGTCCACCGAGAGGCGGGATGGAAGATGGACCAAATAGGACGGATAACATGGTATTGACCGATATGGAAACGACTAACGAGCAAAGGATCCTGAGGAGCTGCAGCTGCGGGTGGTCGAAGGTGACAACTTACAGGGGCCTGCGGATACACCAAGGGAAGGCTAAATGCGGAGGGAAGGACCAAAGGCAAACTTGCACTGCGCAAGCAGGTCAGACAAGGAGAAGTCAGAGCCGGGTTGAGCACCACAGCGTTACTGATTTCACCATTGCGGATGGTCACAGGGAGGCAGAGCAGCCGCAACAGCAGCAGGCCCAAAGTCAACAACAGGCGCAAAGCCTAGGGCGTGAGAGTCACATAGAGACACCCAACGGCAGCCCAGTAAGACAAGCAATGGAGAGACCAGCCAGACAAAGCAAAATCAATTGGCCAAAATCCATCGAAAAAGCT